GCTTTTTGCTGCAGCCCCTAGAGCAGAGTTTCTTTTTTAAATATACAAGATATTTTCTTATACTTTGCCCCATTCAATAGATGTTTTTCTAAAACGTTTTGAGATCTAAATTTTCACAAATTGAACTGTACTGTCAAAGCACAGGAAAGATTGTTGTCTGAAAGTCGCAGAAGGTTTCTGTGTTACAAGGCTCAGTTTATTAAGTAAAAAGCCTGCTGTAGGATTTTTACTTAATGACATCTAATTTTATCTGTGTCATGCTTTCTTGTTTCCTGTGTTGGGTTTTCGTGAAGTGATTTGACAAGAAGTTGTTTCCACTGGGGGTAGGTAAAGCAGTCTGGGGACAGAACCTCCCGCCTGGGCTTCAGCCTGTGAGCTCTCAGCTGGTTGGATGAGCAAGATGCCGAGGGGACTGGTTACCGCCTTGTTTGCTGTTGGTGAGTTACCATCTCACCCTGCAAGGCTCTGGGAGAGAATGAAATTAAAGGACCTGAGAAAAAGTTTATATTCCCCAGGGGCCTGCAGGCTTTTCAACATTTATAGCAGCAGCAGTGCTGGCACTGTGTGAGGTTTTTTCCCTTCTTTTGTCTCACTGTGCTTACTTTATTGGAGGGAATAATGGGGAGGGGGGTGGGAGATGAGGCAGCTGGTGCAAAGGAGTGACTTTCTAGTTTAACCCCTCAGCTGCTGGGAGGCTGGTCACTCACTGACTGTTCACTCAGCCTTGGGGGCAGCTGGGGGCAGCCGGCAGGGACAGACAGCACAGACAGATAAAACATGACCTTGCCCTGGAAGTGTGGGCAGACAGAGCCCTGGACTGGGAACCCTGTCAAGCTCGACCTTAACTCATGGTGACCTTGCCCTAGCCCTCCTTGACCCTCAAGTGCAGATGAGAGCGTGTCACTGGATCAGCTTGGCAGATGCCAGTATCTTCCAGGGCCAGGCAGGTGTGGTGGATGAAGCTGGTCGGCGGCGAGGGTTGGGGGGTGGGGGTTGGGGTTGGGGCAGGGCATCCATGTGGGAAAACTGGAGTTCCCTGGCTTCATCCAAGGTCCTTGAGATTCTGAAGGATTTTTTTTTTCCTTTAAAGGTTTTTTTGAAACTTTTTATACAATTTTTGCAGTTAATTCATTTATTTTGTTTGGGGCTGTGCTGGCTCTTGGTTGCTGCACACAGGCTTTCTCTAGTTGCAGTGCGCGGGCTTCTCATGTGGTCTCTTACTGTGGATCTCGGGCTCTGGGTGCACAGGCTTCAGTAGTTACGGCACACGGGCTCAGTCATCCCTTCCATGTGGGATCTTCCTAACCCAGGGATCGAACTCATGTTCACTGCATTGGCAGGAGAGTTCCTAACCCCTGGCTTCCCAGGTAGTGCAGTGGTAAAGAATCTGCCTGCCAGTGCCGGAGATGCAGGTTCAATCCCTGGGTCGGGAAGATCCCCTGGAGGAGGATCCTGGAGTCAGATGGACTCACTGCCTGAGGAAGTGGCAACCCACTCGTGTTCTTGCCTGGAGAATCCCATGGACAGAGGAGCCTGGTGGGTGAACGTCCATGGAGTTGCAAAGAGTCAGACTTGACTGAGCACACAGACATGACTTGCACACTTCTTAACCACTGGAAAGTCCATTTTTGTACAATTTTAAAAGGTTACTTTCCATTTGCAGTTATTATAAAATATTGCCTATATTGCCTGTGTTAAACAAAGCATCTCTGAGCCTATCTTACCCCCAGTAGTTTGTACCTTCCACTCTCCTACCCCAATCTTGCCCCTCCCACTGGTTACCACTAGTTTGTTTTCTATATCTGTGAGTATACTTTTATGTTCTATTCACTAGTCTGTTATATTTTTTAGATTCCACGTGTAAATGATACCATGCAGCATTGGTCTTCCTCTGACTTATTTCACTTAGCCGAGATTCCGAAGTTTTAAAACCGTTCTGCAAGGCAAACTCACTATCTTTGCCTCAGGTCTAGATACTGTCAGACATTTAGATAGATGACTCTAACTGTGTTCCAGTCTGTGTTCTTTACACATATTAATTCATCTTACCTTCACTACAAACCATGAGGTGGGCAATGAGATACATACCGTTACCTCAATTTTATAAGCAAGGACCCTGGAAAAAAGGAATTCTGAGTCATCCCAGTGGTGATCTTGCCAGACCAAAAATATAGACGGTACTTTTTAACGCGAATCCCAGGTAGGACCCAGAGGGGTGTGGACCTCAGCTGAAGGAAAGCGTGACCAATACATTCTAAACTTACTTTCCCCATAGTATCAGTCAGAACCTAGGGAAAGAGACATGAGGTAAAATATCCAGAGGGCTCTTATGAGTAAAAGGGATATTAGAAGTGTTCCATGTCACTTTTTTTTTTTTTAACTATGTTCAGTACATTCATATCATAGTGTGATACAAATCACCATCTATCTACAGAACTCTTTCCATTTTGCAGAACTAAACCTCTATACCCTTTTAACAACAACTCCCATTCCTCTCTCTCCCACCTCCTGGAAACCTTTAATCTATTTTCTACCTCTGTGAATTTGACTCCTCTGTACCTCCTGTAAGTAGAATCAAATGCTCTTTATCTTTCTGGGAGTGGATTATTTCACTTAGCAGCATAGTATCTTCAAGGTTCATTCAAGTTTGGCATGAGTCTTAACTTCTTTCCTTTTGAAGGCTGAGTAATATTCCACTGTGTGGCTAGCCCACCTTCCGTTTCTCCGTTCATCTCTCCATGGACCCTTGATTTGCTTCCACTTTTTTGGCTGTTGTGAATCACACTGCTGTGAATGTGGGTGTCACTTTTAAGAGAGAATGGAGACCCGTGGGTGGACATCACAGGGAGACAAAGCCTGGCTGGACAATGGCAGGGAGGATTTTTCCGTGATTGTAACCCCTTCCTGGGGGTGTCCCTTTGGGAGGAGATGGCCCATCAGGTGACTCCCAAGGTCCCTCCCATCCTAAGGCTTCCTCTTGGAGAGGAGCTGAGGGGTGCCCCACCTTCAACCAACTGAGCCAGCTCGGACTGGGTTGCCAGATCCAATGGAAGGTACCAGCTCTGGTTCTGGTCCTTGGCCCCCAGTGAGAGTCCCCTGCGGGCAAACCCCGGCAGGGGACAACGTCTGCCATCTGCTTCTTAGTACAGAACATGTCGGCAAGCAGAGATCAGACTTTCCCACCTGAAGAGGGACCGTGTATCACTCACCTCATCTTTTTTTGGTTTGTTTTGGTTGCGGCACGTGGGATCTTTAGTTGCGGCACGTGGGATCTAGTTCCCTGACTAGGGGTCAAATGTGGGCCACCTGCATTTGGGAGCTCAGAGTCTTAGCCACTGGACTACCTTGCTTTCTGTGAGGAAGGACATGCTGATCATTGAGGAATAATGGGGAAGAGGGAGGCCAAGGGCAAAGAGCTGAATGTGGCAGGACTTCTGTCTTTGGGACAGCATCCCTCCGTTCCACTTGGTCCACTGAAGCTTCCATAGACATTGCTGTCTGTCCCAGTGTTCAGGAGCCCCGTCAGATTTCATGCATGGGTCCTGCTATTTCAGAGGAGTTCAAGATGTGCCCTTGAACTGGGCAGCAAAGGCAGGGGAGGTGGGTGGGGGGAAACAGAAGCCGGGGCATCCCCACTTGCCTCCTCCCCCAAGACTGATGTTTTCCAGGGAGATTCCGGGCTCCTTTCTGCTTCTGGCTAAATGAAGTGGAGCTTTGAAAGCGCTGCAGGAGTGCCCGTCAAAGGAGCCCTGTGGCGAAGTCTTTTGTAAAGTGAACAGTCCTTTTGTAAGGTGAATAATTGTGCTCTGATTATCTGCTTTGGAGGTTCAGAGTGTTCAGAGATTCTCAGGGGAAAGAGGGATTTGTCTGAAGGCCATCTGGCCCACCCCGTTTCCAATGCTTGATTCTCTCAAGCACCCGCTCTGAGTGATGCGAAGCCCCCATGTGGACCCCTCTGTGATGGGAAACTCACCATCCCATGGATCATTCCATCTTTGGACAGCTCATCTGATTAGAAATGGAAGCTTATCCTGAGCTTAAAAAGAAAAGTCTCTCTGAAGTTTTATCCGTGTCTCTGCTTACAGGTTGCACTAAATATGCCCTTTGCTTGTGTTGACTCACTTGATAGCTGACTGCAGAGAACTTGACCTCCCCCAAGTCCCCTCTTCATTTGTTTCTCAGGTGCAGGAATTTGAGTTCTCCTATCATCCTGATGGTTCTGTTTTGACTTGGCTTGCTTCGCTGGCCTGCATCGCTTTGTAACCACGAGACCTAGCAGCTGGGGCAACATTCAGATATCTGTCTGTGTCGTGGAGACAGGGACTCGCGTCTCCCAGGATCTAGATTCTCTTCCTATGTTGGTGCAGCTCCAGAGCTTTTATGACAGTAACCAACCTACCAACCCCTAAAATCTCAAAGCCGTGCTGGTGTGGTCTGGGGACTACGCCACCGCCACCTCATTCAGGATTTAATAAAGATGATTTCTTTTTAAACTCCATCTTTATTTTTATTATACTCCAACTCTTTTAGCATTTCCTCTGTTTACAAATTTTATTTTTTTTTTTAATTTTTAAAACTATTTATTTTTACATTTATTTGTTTGACTGTGCCAGGCCTTAGTTGCAGCATTCAGGATCTTTAGTTGTGGCATGCAAACTCTTAGTTGTACCATGCAGGATCTAGTTCCCTCACCAGGGGGTGAACACTGGTCCCCTGCATTGAGAGCATGGAGTCTTAACCACTGGGCCACCAGGAAAACCCCATGAGTTTTATTTTTAAATTTATTTTTGGCCTCACTCTATAGCTTGTGGGATCTTAGTTTCCCGATCAAGGATCAAACCCGAGCCTTTGGCTGTGAAAGTGAGGAATCCTAACCACTGAACCACCAGGGAATTCCCGGAGATGACTCTTTTAAATGTCAGCTTTTCCTAGGCTGGGTATCTCTGCAGAGAAGTGGTCTGATTTGGAACTAATGAAACTCTCTCTTTTTTTGTCCCTAGAACTGGTCAGGCATGAAGTGTCAATTCAAGCTGCTGCGGATGGCTGTGGCCTTGATCTGTAGTAAGTTCTAAGGGCTGGCTGGGGAACGGGGGCCCTGTACCGGTCCTGGGGGATATAGAGATGGCTCAGTCCCTGCTCTTTAGGGACTTGTGGTCAAAAAGAGAAGGGAGACATGTCCACAATGTGCACAGAAGTGGGGGTTACAGGAGGGTCAGACCTACAGTGCTGCTCCCTGGCCTTCTACTTTTCACAGACATAGACTGTGCAGAGAGGAAAGTCCACGTGGGATAAGTCTCCAGCTCAATGGTCAGATCAAGAAAAAGAACCTTTTTTTGTCCTTTATTCCTTTTGGTTTAAAAAAATTTCTGGTTTCAATGTTTTTATTTAAAAATGTTTTTCCTTCCAGTTTTATTGAGGTAAAATTGACACACAGCCCTGCATGAATTTCAGGTGTACAACCTGATGATTTGACTTATATACGTCATGAAATGGTTAGTACCATCAGTTTAGTGAACATCCATCATCTTGCATAGATGCAGAATTAAAGAAATTGAAAACAAATTTTTTTTCCTTGTGAGAAAAGTAATTTCTTAACCTTTCGGGTCATAGAGTCGATTCTTTGCGATCTCCTATTGGAAACTCAGGATTACTTTCCAGAAAAAGGCACATATGAGCAAGCTCACATGGGCACACACACACACACCTACACACACTCTAAAACTTGCTGTTTAGCAGGTTCACAAGCTATAGCTAATCCACGAACCCTTTTGAACAGGTGTGATGAAGGCCTTCGTTGAGAGAAGTCAGTCTATCTGCAAAGGGCATTTTGAGTGTGAAAGACAAGACAGGTATTCACCAGGTAGACAGGATGTAAGAGGCCACTTCAGGTGCAGCAGAAACAAAGGTGCAGAAGAGTGAAGGGTAATGGCTGGCAAGTTGGTTAACAAAACTGGCCCATGAGGTTTGGGACTGTGTGTGATTGTGTAAGAGATCACTGCAGTCAGACCGTGGAGGGATTTAAATGCAAAGAGAAAAATTGGGCTTCATCCCCAGATGCACTAGGAGGCCAGTGGGGGGCTTTAAATGAGGGAGCTGTTGACAGTTTTGAGTTCTCAGCGACTCATCAGGCTGCAGTGTGGAGGGGCAGGTGTGTGTGGGGGATGAGATCAGAGGCCAAGAGGTTCATTCTGAGGTGGAAAGAGATGAGTCTGAACAGAAGCGAGAAGAGGGCCAGACAAGGTCTCATTCAGTCCCCAGAACATGGCTACGAGGAGCGGATTGTTTTTAGGCTTAAGTTATAGGCTCAGAACGTGAAGGTCCCCCCGCTACAGGTGGTAGAGGCAGAATTCAGAGTGAGCCTGTGCCATCTCTAATGCCCTGCACTTTTGCCAGGCTGGGCAGGAGCTCCGGGACTGTTTCTGTCTGGGTCAGCCACTTGGTTTGCAGGGAAGAGGAAGAACTGAGCCAGAACAGACATGGAATGGATAAGGGGCCCAGGTGGGCTCCACTTAAATCCACTTCTACATCCTTTGTACCCCATGGCTTTCAGGGTCCTCTGGTCTCTGTTTCCTGGATGGGGCTCGAGGATTTCTAATCCCAGAGAGGACCTTCCAGCTCTAAAGCTCACGGAATCTTTGAATCAGGGCCTGAGGGTGGCGGGGGGTGGGGCTGGGGCTATGGGAGGCCGTGGGCTAGGAGCTGTGGGGAGCGTAGCTTCCTCATCTGCTCAGACTGAATTTGTCTGTTTGTTAAAATGGGAGCAGAGTCATGAGTCTTACTGTTTAATAGAATACAACCTGGGGACTCTCCTGGTGGACCAGTGGTTAAGACTTCTCCTTCCAGTTCAGGGTCTGCAGGTTAGATCCCTGGTTGGGGAGCTAAGATCCTACATGTCTCCTGGCCAAAAAAAAAAAAAGAAAAGAAACAGTATAAAACAGAAGCAGGATTGTAATGTTCAATAAAGGCTTTTAAAAATGGTCCACATCAAAGAAAGCATTTTTTTTTAAATAAAAGAATCTAACTACAAGTGTCATAAAATCTAAAATGCTATTTTGGAACTGAGACCAATGTCCCTCCAACCTCCCTTGTGGACTGCAGGGCCTGCAAGGCAAAGGCAGGAAGCTGCCCTGGGACCTGGGGAGGCAGGAGGAGGTAAGGATGTGTGTCCCTCTCCTCTCCTTTTCCGCCATCTATTGGCCATCCCTGGGATTACAGGGTCCAGGCTTGGAAGCTTAGGCAATTCCCCAGGGAATGAACATCCTTGGAGGTGCTGGCATCTCTGGGGTGGTTAGGGTGGAGAGAGGCACCCTGGTTAGTTAAATGGTAACCTAATAAGGTCCTTTAGGTTATAGGTAATAAAATGGCACTTAGCCCTTCAAGAGAGTATTTCCCTGTTGAATTGGCCAAGCCAAGTTTGCACAAGAAGGATGGATTGGAGAGCAGAATGGGCGCATTTTCGACTCTGTTAAGATTACATTCTAACACTTTGTTGAGATTATTTATTTCTGTTCCTTCTTTGCCCTTCTCTCCCTTCATCACTTCTTTTCAACCACTAAAGCACCAGTTCTGAGGGTTCTCCAGGGTTTAGTACATGAAGATACTTAGTAGACTGTAAAGGGCTCTCACGTACTGAGATCCTTATTAATGTCCCAGCAGTGTAGCCTGGTACGTGGAGTCTGAGACTTTATACAGATGGGGAGACTGAGCCTCCAGGACTCATGACTGCAGGGGTGCAGGCCCTTTGGGCTTCTGCACAGAGCTGTCTGTCCCCTTGGTCTGAAGCACTGTTCTTAAGATTTGTCTCTCTTTTTTTTTAAGACTTTTTTTCTTGAAACAGACTATTTCTAAAGTCTTTATTGAATTTGTTACAGTATTTTGTGTTTTTGAATTTTTGGCCACAAGGCCTGTGGGCTCTTAACTCCCTGCCTTGAAAGGTGAAATTTTAACCACTGCACCACCAGGGTAGTTCTGGGTCTTCTCTTGATATTCAAATGTCCCTCCTGTAGGAAGCTTTGGCCTGATTCTCCAAACTAAAGAATCCCCTTCCTGAAACACAGCCTTGATTTTAAATCACCTAATTTTTCTCTCCCCATAGGGTTTCTTTTGGGCTTCCCTGATAGCTCAGTTGGTAAAGCATTCGCCTGCGATGCAGGAGACCCCAGTTAGATTCCTGGGTTGGGAAGATCCCCTGGAGAAGGGAAAGGCTACCCACTCCAGTATTCTGGCCTTTTACCGGATTATCTTACGTATGTAATTATATGCTGGTTGATCGCCAGACTCTGTGAGCCCTGGGAGAACAGTAGTGTGTCTGCCGTCTTCATGATTGGATTCCCAGTGCACACAGCAAACAGTGCTAGCCTGTTGGGTAGTGAAAGAATTAGTGGCTGGATGGCTGGGTGGCTGGCAGGAGGGCAAGACCTCTCGCTCGGCTCCCGCCCTGTTCCCCCGGTGACCTGACTGTGCTTCCTCCCCTCGCAGTGAGCATGGAGTTTGGGCGGGCCGTGTGGCTGCGGTTCCACCCGTCAGCTTACCCCCCTTGCCCTCACCCGAGCTTCGTGGCGCACCTGGGTGGCGTGGCTGTGGGCATCACCCTGGGCGTGGTGGTCCTGCGGAACTACGAGCAGAGGCTGCAGGACCAGTCGCTGTGGTGGATTTTCGTGGCCATGTACACCGTCTTTGTGCTGTTCGCTGTCTTCTGGAACATCTTTGCCTACACCCTGCTGGACTTGAAGCTGCCGCCGCCCCCCTAGAGACCTGGAGGACCTTGGTCCGGGAGAGAAGGGAGAAGCAGCGTCGGCCAGGAGCAGCCGTATTCTTTTTCTCATCACCAGCTCAGTGAGGCCAGAGAGGAGGGGACAGGAGAGGCTGCGCTGCTGTGACATTTGTGTTCAGATCTGAGCAGACAGTGGAGGCCTTTTTCTGAAGGCACCCACTGGAGGAATTGGATGTGGCTTCTGTAGTTTTTCTAGACTGTTCTGAGGACCTCGGGCCAGGGTGAAGGCCTGGGGCGAGGTGAGAGTGGCCGTCCCCTGGGGCTGGCCGTGTCCCATGTGTTCAGGGACACAGACTGGGCAGCAGCCTTTTTCACCCGCCACCCGGAGGTATCTAAGAGGGGAAGGAAGGCCCGCGGCTGTATAGCCAGGCAGGCCCTGTCCAGCCCACAGGTCACTATGGGCCAGGACGTGTTCCCTCCAAAGCTACTGGGTATGGAGCTCTGGAGTGGAAGGGGGCCTGGTGGTGGAGGATGGTCAACTTTGGTCAGGGCCGGGGGAAGCCAGGACGCCCTCCCATGCCTGTCGGTGGGCACTGGGGTGTGGCCTCTCAGGCCTGGAGAGAGCAGAGGGAGATCCTATGGCTCCAGGCCCCCCCTTGCCCTCGGGGTACCTGTGAGAGGAGCCCGAGAGGGAGCAATAACTTTGTTCAGGGCTTCCCCAGTGGCTCAGATGATAAAGAATCTGCCTGCTGTGCGGGAGACCCAGGTTCGATCCCTGGGTCGGGAAGATCCCCTGGAGAAGGGAATGACTACCCACTCCAGTATTCTTGCCTGGAGAATCCCCATGAGCAGAGGAGCCTGGTGGGCTACAGTCCATGGGATCACAAAGAGTCCAACAGGACTGAGCGACTTTCACTTTCACTCCCCTCCTCACCACGCCCCCCCCACCCCCACCCCCAGCGCCTGGGGGAAGGGAAGGGTATTGGCTTCGGACTTATCCCGAGTGCTGACATCTCACACCAGTGTCCGGACATCCATCCCCTTTTGTTCAGGGTCTTTTCCTCCCCTTCCACTGCCCACAGCCCCCAGTGTGCCTGCCTTCCGCTTACAGAGCCCGTGTTCTGGTACGTGCGTACATGTATGTGTGTGTGTGCATGCGTGTGTGTGCACATGCATGGTTTGGTGGGCAGGTGCACATGTGGTGGGAAAGATGATGTGAGGCCAGCTGGAGGCTGCAGGGGAAGCCTGCAGAGGGCGGGGTCTGTGGGGGAGTCTGCCTGAGAGGATGGAGGCACTGAGAGACAGGAAACTCTTGCCCCCTTCTTCCGCATCCCCGTTCTTCCCCGGTGCCTCCCTGAGAATCCCTGACCAGCGGGAGATGTGCTGTGGTCAAGGGAGACCTCGGGCCCTTCCAGGGACCTTGAGGATGCTGAGGTTTCCCTCCCCTTTGCCACGTTCTGGTCTGACTCCTGCCTAGAAGAGCCTTCCTATCTAAAAAGATTCTGTTGTATCTCCCTTAGGAGGGAAGGAGCTTTGGGGGTGCAGGAAAGGCTGGAGCAGGAATGTTGGGGCCAAGTGTCGTTTTGAAGTTGGGGGGCACAGGGCCTCCAATTCAGACAGGAAGCTGCTCCTGGAGAAGAATCAGTGGGTGCCTGGGGGAATATTGCAGGTGAGGAGAGCAGCCCTCGGATGCTCAGAGCCAGGAGGGCACGTGGAGATGGTCAAATCTGCGCCCCCACCCCAAAACAAGTGGCAAAACAGGGCTGAGGCAGCGATCCCCTGCAGGAGCTGGTGCCCACCCCGAGGGGAGGGTGTGGGGAGGATGGCCTTGTCTCTTTATGCTGCCCTGGGGACCCCGAACACTGACAGCCCAGGGGGCTATGTTCCTGCAGGAATGGGGCCGCCTCAAGCCTGTCAGAGCCCTTACGTATGCTAAGGTCCAGAGTCAGCCAGGCCAGGTACTGGGTGGCCACTGTGACCACCCATAAATGGGCAGGGTCCTCCTACCCCGGGACACCCCTACTCACCCCTGGGCTACACCAAGCCCTTCCCTGTCTTGGCCCAATGATAGATTGTTCTGGTCCCCACGTATGGCTCCCGAGGTCACGCTGCACTTGTGTCCATGCTGTGCTAAGGACACCCTGGGGCGATGGGCCCAGGTCTTTGGCTGAGCCGTGCCAGTCTGTCCCTGCCAACCATCCGCTGCCCTCCTGGGAGCCAGGTGTGGCCGGAAGAGTGAGCTTCTTAGGAGAGGGGACTCTGAGCTGGAAAGGGGGCTGAGAAGACGTGGGCAAGGACGGGGGTGGGAGGGACTCCGCCGTGGGCTGCCACCCCTGCTAGCCCTGAGTGATGCTGTCCCTTCTGGGAGCGACAGAGGCTGCTTGTGCCCCGCTGGGAGGCAGGGCATCATCTCCACCCTGGCACCTGGGCGCTCTGGGATGTGGTGGAGGAAGTGGAGACACTTCTGCCTTTATCTGGTGTGGTCTGGAGTGGGGGGCTTCCTCTCTCAGGCGTGGGAAGACTGTGAACCGGAAGAGTCTGAAAGCCGGTCAGGGAAGCACCCAGTTCTTCAGGGCTTCAGATGGAAGCTTGGTACCGAGAAGGACTGCGTGAGACGGAGGTGTGGAGTCTTGCCCTGCGAGGCCTGGGAGGCGCTCAGGGCTCCTTCTCTATGCCCCCTGCCGCCAGCCCCAGCTGCTGCTGGTCCACAAGCCGCCTCTAAGTTCTTCCTTACGCTCAGCGCCCACCTCCGCCGCCTCTCCCGACCACCGCATCTAAGCAGGACCACGGAGTGGTGGCAGGGGTCACTTCAGACGCCCCCCAGGTCTCCAGCCCAGGGCCGGCAGACAGCTGTCCAGTAAGAAAGGCTTACTTTTGGGAGTCTGGCTTCCTCTCTGGCAGGCCCCTCTGTTCCCACGCTCCCTCCTCATCCAGTATGGCCACCTGGCCGGGTGCTGAGCAGCAGAGGGTGGACTGAATCTTCAGGCTGTGGAAGCCAGTCAGCCTTTTATCCACAGGCTTCAGAGACTGAAAACTGAAGGTTTTCCAAACAGCAGCCCCGGACTCACCCCCTCCTTACATGGAAGAGCAATCACAGAAACTGGGGAAAGGAATACGAACCTTCCAAGGAGAAATTTCATTCTAATGATACCATTCACCATTAGTTTTTTAATTAGGAAAAGCTCCCGGATGAGGCACTTTTGCCAGCTCATAGGGTTCTCAACTTCCACGAGAACCATTCTTGCCCAGAGGATTAGGGGAGTCGGTGCTCACCAAGTCCGGATCTCCCTGCAGTGTCCAGTTTCGTTGGAAAATAATGCCGATTCCTGGGTGCAGTGGGAAACCCTTTCCTAGCATCATTCATGGTCCCAGTGCTGGCCAGAAAGCTCCAAAACTCCTCTGCCTTAAAAAACTGCCCAACCCAACACCTGTCTTCCCCCCCAGGACTGGAGTAGGTGGAAACAAAACTAATCCCAAGCTGCAGTGTTTGTTTCTAAATATTTTTGTATTGTGTACATTCTGTATATTTTTGTTGTAACATATTATTTGAGCACAGATTCCATTAAAGATTTTTTTTTCTTTAAGTCATTGGTTAAGTCATTGGTTATACAGTTATTCTCACCAGTTTCACCAGTTACTCAGGAAGGGCTGGCATTGGAGCCTGTTTCATCTTGGTCTGGGTTAGGGTTGGGGGGGGAGGGAGAGTGGACCGCGGCGGGGGTGGGTCTGTGATGTATGCCCTACGGATGGGGCATCCGTGCTCGGCACTGGTCTTCCCAGCTTGGTAGTTCTTAAGCATTCTTGAATACAGTTCTTTTGAGTGGTTGATGAAAGCTCTGATTTTTCTTCCCATAAAAAATGCACAGACAGACAATTCTATGTATGATTTAGAGGGAAAGTGCTGTGAATAAGGAAACTCATCTAGGGTTTCAGGTCATGAACCTCTGTGCCAGCCGTCCTGGTGGGTGCCTGGCCTTCCCCTTCCACTCTTACACTGTACCCCAGTGAGAGCTTAATATTCTATTATTATTGGATGAGTCTCCTTCAAAATATCCTAGATACTTCCTTCATTACCCCAATAGCCCAGTCTTTTTTTTTCTTTTTTGTCATGCAGGATCTTAGTTCCCTGACTAGGGATTGAACCCATGCCCTCTGCATTGGAAGCATGGAGTCTTAACCGCTGGACCACCAGGCAAGTCCCTAGGGCTTTCTAGGGGCTGCCAGTACCCTGATCCTAAAAAAGGAATAGGAATGTCCTCAGGGTCAAAGAGCACAGACAGCTCACATACAGAAGCGGGAAACAAGAGGGGCACAAATGGTAGTCTCGTGCTTGGTACGTTTAACAATCAAGTGGGCTTTGAGTGGGTGAAGGCTGAGAAGGTGAGTCGTTCTCAGCAGTTTCTCTGAGCTAATGGCAGTGTATGTAGTTTCACCATTCACAGCTTTTGGTGGATTAAACTACCCTGTTAAAATTCATGGTGGGAGTTGTTTCCTGTCATGTTTTCACATCAGTTTCTTGTGTATCATTTACAAATATTTCTAAATGCTTTCTGGAATAGCAGAAGTCATCCCAGAACAAATTTTAGAGCATGGTTCAGGCTCAAGATCTAGGACCTGTTTGGAGTGTGGGGAACAGAGTCCGGAAAGTCGCACACTGTCCGCAGCCGTGGTCCCGGGACTCAGTTCCCAAAGGTAAGCTCCCTGGCAGCCAGCAGTCGTTAAGCCAGCTTTGCCTCCGGCCTCCTACCACTCCACTCTTCACTCTTGCTGCCTCCCTTCCACCAGCTTCTCATTCTTCCTACAACTGAAAAATTACCGATAATGAGGCTAATTATACAGACCACTTAGTGGGTGCCTACTATATGCCAGGGTACTGGGCGAGGCACTTTCAGTCTTATTTAATTGCACAGCTACTTGAAGTGGATATAAGTATCTACACATGAAGGGAAGGCTTAGAGAAGTTCAGTAACTTGCCAGGAGGATCACAGCCAAGACGGCCTGGTTCCAAAGTTCATGTGCTCAGCTCTCGGGTGTTTGTATAGAACTTTAAGGACACTCAAGTTTGTAGAAGCGTCAGGGTGTTTGTTTAAAGATACAGTCTTAAAAAAAAATAAAGATCCAGTCTAGTTGCCCCGGGCCTGGGGCCATCTGGTTAGTCATGAACCTTGGTGTATTTGCTTGGTGTTCACTTAACAGGATCTCTACTTTGTCAGCCCTCCCAGAGGTAGTTCACAAGAAAACTCACAGCTATCAATTAATTACTGCTCCCTATCACCGCCCCACCACCCCTGCCTTCCGAAATGTAGCATTTGCACTAACTTAGAGTGATATGAAGTCTGTGAGGCACATTTAAGAAGTTTAGCGGGTATAGGACTGGAGCTGCCCTCTTAGGCCTCCGAGTGGAAAGACTTCGTTGAAGCCAGTGGGGTCTCCATGACAGAGAAGACACATGGTTAGGAGGAAGGTAGTCCTGGTAACTGAATCTTATTTCTGAGACGCCTGCAGGCTTTCCTGGCATTTGGTGTAAGTAATCCTCTGGGAAAGGACAGGCATTCTGTCATGGTCAATAACAAGAGTGAAAAGAATTGACTTGGGCCATTGAATTAGACAGGTGTAAGCGTACTGGATGATGAATAAAACACTGTGATGGAAACTGCTCATATACTCTGCCTAATGCCTCCTGCAGGTTGCACAAAGATGTCTCCTAGCAGGCGATTTGATTTTTTTCAACAAATTCCTTAGCCTAACAAGTATAATTTCCCCCAAAACTTGTTGTAAATTAATAAAAATGTCAGGCTGGAGAATTGAGCTCACTGAATAAAAATGACTGTGTTGCTGAGAAGCTAAGTTTTATTATTATAAATATAATTATAGGTAAGTTGAGACCATTTTTGATCCATGGCAAACATACACTTCCTGTGTGTATAGCACACAGATAACACACAATGTATTCCACACTTGAACAAATGCTCTTTAAAACTTTGAAAGTTAATATATTAGCTTATTAAAATTTGAGTAAAATACATGTTTTTGGTCACGAGCTCTGAGTTTCTTCTCATGGCCCACAAGACAGTCAGCTCCATGTCACTATTTTCCTTTTCTACAGCAGTGATATACAGTTTATCACACAGTTTTAAAATGACTGTATTGTATATAACTGTGTGATGTCATGAGCTTACATTACCAAAACTATATATAAAAGTACATATAAAGAATATGTAATTATGCCTTGACTCTATCCATAAATGACTTGAAGCAGGTAATATATTTGCCTTTTTTTTTTTAATATATTTGCTTTTAAATGCTATTTACAACATGGACTCTTGAATGATATGTGAATTTGAAAATGAAAAACATATTTTCCAGACTCAAAATGTTGATGTCCTAATGTTATTTATTTAAAAAACTGATTTCCAAGTGGGCAACCCTACCTTAGAAAAAGTCAGATTCAAGGGTTGTGCCGTAAAATAGCTTGTTTCCCATAGTCATTCTGAATGCTATAAAAAAGATGGTACTTGGATTTTTTTCTACACTGACTACAATCCAAGTTATTAAAGTTTAAAACTATATGAAAGCCTTTATGAGGATCCTGAATTGTATTTCTCATTAAAGAAAAGAAATGGCTCAGTGAGTCATGTCTCTAGATTTCTGTAGAAGAGAAAGCAGAAGGCCGTTGTCAGTCATCTTGAAAGTTAAAACTCAGCACTTAATGTGAATTTAGATGAGTTTAGGAGAGGAGCTTTACGGGCTTCTGTTCCTCTGAGCATCCTGAGGGCAGTGAGAACAGAAGACTCTGATCTTCCAAACAAAAATCATTATCAAATGGATTTATTAAAGAGCTATGCAGAACAAACTGGAGTCATGTGTGTGTAGCTACAGTTGGCTTCCATGGGAATTACAAATGGCTCTAACACAGGGCACTTTCAGTTGATTCAGAGTAAAACAATATAAGGCTTGTAACACATGTACAGAAAACTAAAATCAATGTGAAGAATCTCTGTGTGAGTTCTTTATTTTACGTTTGCTTGTAAAATTGATGTACTTTGTTTCTTTTTTAACACTCTTTAAAAACTCCAGCATTTTCATATAAAAGAAAAAGAGAATTATAGGCTCTTGGCAAATACCTGTGAACAAAAGTATGAAGAAAAGTGATGGGGCCACTTCTGCAGTAGCTTTCCATCAGAGATAATGTCTTATCTTGAAGCTAGTGCACCTATTTTTAAAGTTCATTTAATTTCTTACACACTCATGATTTATTTGCATATTGACATAAAAGCTGCCTTCATCATCCATGCCATTATCAATCGGACAAAAAAAATCCATCAAGCACCCACAGGATGCAGAGATCTGTCTTTGAAATGGTGGCATGGTGTTAATCTGTCCTAAAACTAGGAATAAGTTTCTTGAAAGAAGCTATAGTACATTGAGGGATTCCCTGTGGCTCAGTGGTAAAGAATCTGCCTGCCAATGCAGGAGATGAGGGCTCGATCCCTGGGTCGAGAAGATCCCCTGGAGAAGGAAATGGCAAGCCACTTCAGTATCCTTGCCTGGGAAATCCCATGGACAGAGGAGCCTGGGGGGTTGCAGTCCATGGGGTCACCAAAAGAGTCAGACATGAGTTAGCAACTAAACAACAACAACAGTACCTTAAGAAAGAAGTATTACGATTTTTCTGGGAGGGAAAGTTGCTAAATACTGCAGCAAACTCCTCAGAGAAGCCGCAAAATCACCTCTGACGGTTTTAAGCAACAATTCCCTGAAGCTAGAACTTACGGGACCAGCAATGTAAAAATTTCACAATTCTAACATACATCTATCTATGACTGTGAAGGTGTGCCTCAGATTTATACATCCAATTAGGCTTAATCTTGAAAATACAAAATGAAAAAATCTAGAATGTGTTTTCAAATAATCTGAAATAGCAATCCTTTGACAGTTATAAAAACTACCACAGTTTTAAACACTACGGCTTGCATGACTTCACAACACAATCATCTCCAAATACGTCATCAAAAACTCTGGGCAGGAGCTTCTTTCATAAATTCCTCGAGGACAGCTACCACATTTTTGGCTTCCGGCATTTCTTCGTGTTCCACTTTAACAATCTTCAAAAGGATATCTCCACTACCACAGTTCTTTAGGAACATGTAACATTTAAACAAAGCATAATGATTCATTTCTGCCTGCCGGATAAATCTCTTCAAATTATTTGTGTCTTGTATGGCCTAGAAAAAGATAACCCAGTTAAGTATGTGTTCAGTGAGATAATAATGAAGCTTGCAAAAGATCTCCTATCCAGCTGAGAACTCAACTATATGTTAATGAAATGTTTGCCTTTTATTTCAAATATTTTAATTGCTAATATGCTTTGCCCTTGATAGAACAAAATCTTTTACATAAAGTAAAAATACAAATCTCCTAAATAAGGTGACAACATGCCTCCCCAACAAAATCTGAACCTTTAGGCGTGGAACTACGTTTTTTGTGCTTCCCAACTAAGATATGCCATAAATTGTAAGACTGAAGTCCCTAAAATATAAGCAAGCATTCAATTCAATTTATTGGAAATACATACAGAGGCCACTGAAAAATATCAATGAATGCCTTCTGAAGATTCTAGGTCTTATTTGTTTTTCAAAAATTAGAACATTATTTTAATTATTATGAATAAGGCTTACAGTGCAAAAACACAGAATAATGCACATTTATGGTTAAGACTTGGACTTTACTTGACAATTCATCCAAAAATATAAAGATACTGTTTATATATAAAGAATGACAAGTGATACCTTTCATTAGTATTGCCTTTACTATAGTGGATACATTTGCTCCATCAAAATGTCTTTCTATTTATTTGCTAATAGTAAACGAACATGAAAAAATGTTCAGCCTGAATAATAATTAAAGACAGATTTGAATAGCTATGGAGTGCCAATATTAAAGTAATAAAAATAAATAAGACTGATAAAAAACTGTTATATTAGGTTCTGCATAGAAAACCCATACACATTGCTGAACATTCTGTAATTTGTTCCCATTTTTTTTTTGAAGTGCAAGCTGGCAATCTAATAGAAACCAAAGCATTCAAACCCTTTTTCTCGGTAATCCCACTTTTGGGAATATACATTAAGGTAATAATCCAAATGAAAAAAAATACCATCCAGCAATGCTCCTTCTGGGCATCTCTCTGAAGAAAACCAAAGCACCTACGCAGAAAGATATCTGCAGTGCCATGTTCCCTGAAGCATCACCAACAACAGCCAAGACATGGAAGAAACCCAAGTGTGCGCTGATGGGTGAGTGGACAGAGAAACTGCGGTAAATATACACAGCGGGATACCAGTCAGTCAATGAAAAGAATGAACTCTTCAACAAGGGCTTCATGCCAAGTGAAACGGATTCAACAGAGAAAGACAAATACCACATGATCTCTTCTACATGTGGAATCCAAATATATATATATTTATGTGTATATTAAAAAAAAAACTCATGGACTCAGAGTACAGACTGAGTCTGTACTCTGCCACCAGCGGCAGCAGATAGGGAGTGGGAGAAATGAGTGGACTGTTTGGTTTTGGTTGAAATAAACTGAAATTTTTATATACAGATAAAAATAGTAATACACCATTGTCACCTGTCAGACTAGCAAAGATGAAAAGTTTAGATACCCAGTGGTGTCTGGGTTTGGGGAGGCTGGCACTTTCAATGCTGTTGGTATAAATGGAAATTGAGGATTATAGTTTTGAAAGTGTCCTAGTTAACAGACATAGCTGTGAAGCAGATTTGTTTCCTGGTCACTAGTACTAACTAAACTTTAAGACAAAGACTATATATGGCACTTGGCACACAGCCAATTAGTTACCTTTAGTTTAAAGTTCTCCAGGACTTGTCGAAAAAGAAAAGGGTTACCTCCTTCGGCACCATTCATAAAAGCCTGCATCCAATCCTCACAAAACCGGTTGCTCCCTATGAAACAGTTTAGAAAAATGAATAAAAGTAAAATCCAAAGACATTTATTCTGCCTTTCTTTGTATTTCCTTTTTTAAATTGAGGTATAATTGAACCATATAACATTAGTTTCAAGCGCACAGCACAAGGATTCAATATTTGTATACATCACAATGTTCTGTCCTCATTTATAAAATGATTACAATGAATTATTTAAGACTTCTGTATTGGTCTAAAAAAACCTTAACTCACCACCTGGCTAAGAAATACCAAAATGGTCGAGGCTTCCACGTGCATCTTCCCAGCTGCATCCCCCTATTTTCCCATCAGAAAGGATTATCACACCCATGTCTTTCTTTAAACCTTTGCCACATACTTTATCTCTAAGCCCTATAGAGTATAAAAAATTTGCATATGTTAAAACTGTACTTTTCTTTAATGGCTCTTTCACTCTATAGTATGTTTGGATGCTATGAGGAGAGACATAGCTCTAGTTCACTCATTGTCACGGCTGTATAGTATTCCATTGTATAACAGCTTATCAGTTCTCCTGTTGACAGACACTTGAGTTGCTTTCAATTCTTTACTACTGCAAACAGTGCCCTTATGGACATCTTGTATTCGTCTCCTTGTGTACATACATAAGAGTTTCTCTATATACCTAGGAGCAGAATTGCTAGGCATGTCATGATTTCCATGTTTCTAGAAATGCTATTGTTTTTGGTGATTTGGGGACAAACATGTAAAACTGCGCAAGGCAGGGAGGATAACTTTGCGTCGTTTGTTCTCAGGCTGTTGCCAGGGTTGTGGCTCACCTGCATTGTGGAACTGAGGCTGGGAGCTGCTGCAGTCGATGATCACAGACTTATGCTGCTCCTCCGTCATGGCCATGCACAAGGATGTCATGGTGCCTTCGTGAATAAGGCCTTGGAGACTAGCCACGCTCAGAAACCTGCCACACACACAATCTTTTTCCACAAACTATATTACAGGATGGGAGGGAGAAAGCAAATTCATTCTGCATTGCGTGGTAGGGGAGTTAAAAACAGAAATATCAGACTGGCTGTGGAAAAGGTTCTCTCTTTGCAAAACTGTTCTTTACCTGTGAATGTCTCTCTTTGTTTTTTCATCTGATCCTTTAACCTCAACAGGAGTATAACTCAAAGCCTATGAGAGAAAAACACCACCCAGTTGATACACGTATGCCAATTTTCCTTGCAGAGTAGCTAGTGACTAAACGTCGCCTCCCCCAATAAGCACCGCACCAGACCATGTTTGCTGGGCACCGCCCTGGAGCTCTCCAGAGCTGTGTTCAGCTTCACTGACGGTCGGGAACCAAGCCTTACCACCTGGGCTTGAGAGGCTGTCCAGCCTCAGCAGCATCCACCCACACATGAAAAATGAAAAACCTAGCCACTTCCTCAGATATTTTAGTGAGTATTTTATTTGGACATTTTTAAATAGTTAAAAATTACTTTGGATTTCCGTTTTCCTTCTCAAATTGTTTTAGAAATCACATCTCTCCCATATCACTTCAGAAAGTAATTATTTTAGATAGTTCCCTGGTAGTCTAGTGGTTAGGATTCAACACTTTGACTGCTGTGGCCCGGGTTCAATCCCTGGTTAGAGAACTGAGTTTCTATAAGCCGTATGGCACAGCCAAAAAGAAAAAGAGAAAGTGATTAAAATGTTTTATTGTATTAGAAGATAGTATTCGCAACTCTACCTTCGTAGTGTAACTTTCTGGATCTGTGTAAACAGAGTGCAGTGTATCCTTATTGCAAGCATAATCTCAATGAATCTTCAGAGGGCAGGTGGAAATAATAAATAATATTCAGAGAAAATAAGTATGTCTTTAAATAAACCAAACTCTGCCAAAGTGATCCTCAATGAAGGAAATACTTTCGTTTGGGCAATACTTACAGCATGTAGCAGAAAGGTGAGCTTCTCCTGAAAGAGATGGACCACCCTTTGGATGGGGCAAACAACATCTGCAAACCAGCTGCTCAGGTAAGACTGGATGTGGTTCTCCCCACCGCTTTCCTAGATTAAGAGAGAATGTCATTTGCTTTGATCTAAGCCCTCACCTTAATTAATGGACTTAACATTTTCTTCATGATACTCTTGACAGTGCAAAGAAATGGGGACTGACACCTCCTTCTTTTTTAAGCTAATGCCACCAATTAAAACAAAAGGAATTGTAGGAATTTCCTGGCAGTTCAGTGGTTAGGACTCTGCCCTTCACTGCCAGGCGCCTGGGTTAAATCCCTGGTTGGGGAACTAAGATCCCACAAGCAGAGAAGTACAGCGAAAAAACAAAAAAAGGAATTGTGATATAACTTTGCTGGGCTTGTTAGGCAGAGAGGGGATTAATTCAGTACTGCATTAAAAAAAAACACACTAAGACATGCATTGTATAAAATGAAGAGACTGACTTAATAGGGTTCCATGCTATTTCTTCACTGAAAGGAGTTAGGGCATTTACATGTCCATCTCCTCCCACTGCGCTGTGAACTCCAGGAAATACTCTCTTAATAATCCTTCTCTCCAAAAATTAATGAATAAAACTTCTTTCATTTAAGGGGAGGGAAAAAAAATCCTCACCCCCCACTCCCAAGCATCTGGTACCATTTCTGAAACACCCATGGATGAGCTTATAAAGCGCCTGTTGAACCACTGAGGAATGCAGACAGCTTACCAACACTTGAAAGTGAACAGGGGAGGACACAGGCCAGCCCATCAAAGTGCTCAAGCCCGCCCCGCAGTGGTCAGGCACACTGCCGGGAGCTCACCCAGCTTCCCTGGCTCTGCTGCTCCCTAGGGGCTGGTGGGAGCACCCCATCCCGGGAGCGCAGCTACCCTAGACGCGCTCGTATCCCCGGCTCACTCAGAGGCTATCATTCTACTCTGTGCTGCACTGTAAGCACATGCACGACAAGTGAAAGGAATTATTACCACCTGTAATGGGTAGAAAATTTATGAGTTATGACTTAACTCCCACAAACCAAATGCATAGTATTTAAAAGGTATGGATAAACGAATCGATATGGATGTATCTAATTCACAAAAGATCGATTAATGAAAAACGGGATGTTTCTAAATATCTTTGAGGTTGAGTTCAAGGACAGTCATCCGGTTGCACAGCATGTCTCTGGTGCCAGCAGCTTCATAGGCCATTAATTCTGCCCAGAGTATAAATCTTATGTGTCTAGAAATCAGGAAAGCAGCATCTTCTTCCTTGCTTGGCATGTTACCGTACACCTTTGAATTTAACGGGTTGAATTTTTCATAGATACAAAACATCACAAGCAGTCTTGTGAAACTTAAGAGGACTGTGTTCCCTGCTCCTCTTAACAAGCACTTTTCTACTGGCCCACAAAGTAGCACATTTTCAGAATTTAAGTCTGTGCCCACCTGGATGATTTGATAAGAACAGCAGTCACATAATGTTAGTCATTTGGGTCTTTAAAAATATTAATGCAAAAAATAAAAAAAATAAAAATATTAATGCAATCATCTTACCTCACAGTTCATGTTATTTTTCAGCCCTTGAATGTACTTATCCAATTCAAGCCTGAAAGTATGTTCTTAAGGAAGTGACAAAGGGTGAATCAAGACAGGGTTTTATCTCTCAAAGGGCAATAGGAAACTTCTTAAATGACGGTTAGTTAAAACAAGCCAAGACATGGGAATTTCGTGGCAGGCCAGTGGTTAGTACTCCATGCTCTCACCACCCGAGGGCTCGGTTTCAATCCCTGGTAGGGGAACTAAGATCATACAAGCTGAGTGGCCAAAAATAAGTAAGTTCATGATAAAACAAGTGAAGACAAACTGGTCATGTGAAGATATGAAATTGAAGTTCATGCATAAGAGGTAGAAAGGCTTTTTGGAGGTCGGCAGTGATAATCCTCTACTTGCCTGCCAGCCTTTCCTTCCTGATATCCTCAAAAACCAAAGAAAGGATATAGCTCAAGTCCTTTTTCAGACCCTCCTAAAAAACAGACCACATACTCTGAAGACTTCTGCTCAGAGTCCACTGATGCTGTTTGGGGAAGCGGTTTTTCTTGTTGGAAAAGGCAATAATAACAACCGACTCGGTAACCTGGAATTCTAGAAAAGAAAGAAAAAGCTAAAATGCATTCTTTTGATAACTCATTCATGTAGTTTTGTAGGCTCCTCTGAGCCCTGGTCATCCTGATCTGGCAATGTCATTAGACTGCTCTGTAGTTCAGAAGCTCCCAGACTTCTCCTTGGTTTACTGATAACAACAGAGGAAAGTGAACATACATCATAACGGGCTTTAACTAAAGCAGCACCTAACAAACACGGAATTTCTTTGAATTCTTCTATGTGAAAAATTCATGGAAATTTCACTCTTGTTCACAGTTTACCCATGTTGACATGGTTTATCCGTGTTTTCCCTCCCATAAACATACATGAATCACTGAAGCGCCAGGAAGATGTGAAGTGTTGACCCTGTGGTCTTACCTTTGGGATGTGGCCTCATACTCCTGAAGGGACTTGATGCCAGTATCATGGTCTGAAGTGAACTACAATCAAGGGGTGTAATGGAAAGCTGGCTGGAATTCAACCAAGGACACCTATATTTAAGCCTGAACTCCATCAATGTGACCAGCCTTAGGACCTTAACTTCTCTGAGTTTATTTCCTCATCTGAAATAGGAAGTATCTGCTTTATCACCCCTTTGTAAGGAGAAAGGCATTGAAGCTTGTGAAAGCACTTCACAACTGTACACTGTATAATTTCAGTTTTGGTAATGAGCTCTTTCCTCCCAAGTACAAGACTAAATATGTACCCTTAGGAGGAAGGGTCTCTGCCATTCAGTTAATTCCATTCCTCAAATGTGTGTGTGTGTGTGTGTGTGAGGCCCAGGGCTCAGCTGCCAGGAGACAAAGATGAACTTTGCAGGTCTAGCCAGAGCTGATCTGTTGGAGTTTCTCATCGCTTCCCATGTTAGCTCAGAAATAAAATCTCAGGACACAGCACATTTTACACTTACCTCAGCTCTACAGCTGCAACATTACCCAGCCCTTCAAAGACTGCTCCCTTAGAAAGACGCTTCGCAATGCAACTGCGTAGCTCTGGCTCCACTTCAGATGGTAGATTAGTGTCTACCAAGGAGAGGCTTGACAAATGAAAGACACACGTTCCTTAGCAGAGGACTCTGCATTTATACCCCGTAAGTCAGACACAACATTGCTAAAAGCCCTCACTAAGGACTCAGCAGAGCTTTCCATTTGACTCCTGTTGGTGAGGCTTCTAGGGATGTATGTCACCAAGTACAATCTGCGTCATCCGTTTAAAGTGGTCCTATCTTTCTAGCTCATTCTCTTTAGTATTATGACTCCAGTGGGACCACCCCCCCAAACCCACGGACCTTCCCTCTTTTTCACAGTAACCTCAAGTTTCTCATCCTCACCTCCCTTCTTACCCAGCTTAAATTCTGTGGTCAGTTATTACGATCACCGCCCTGCATACATTTTCATTCAACCCCTTTGTTTTCACCTCCTGGTATCTTAGCAAACCTTCAGCCCTGGTTAGTCCAGTTCTCTACCTAGCCTGCACCTGCACCCATGTAGCTGAATGTGGCTGGACAAAACCCCACAACCACAGCGGCTAGTCTCATTTTAAATGAACGACCACTAGCCACCAGTGGGCCCTTATTACCGCTGCCCAGCTCTCATGCCATTTCCTGGTTCACTCTCTTCTACATCACTATTTCATGCCTCCTCTCCTTTCCTTAAGCCTCCCACTACCCACTGCCCGTGACTAAACACACCAGTTCAGTGATTATTTATGACCTAAACACAAACATTTCAGTTTGGTTGAGATTAGTATATGAACAGAAACTGTAATTTGAATATGTAAGATTTCCCATCCCCAAATTTCCCAACAGAGAATATGAACCCAATATGCCTCACATCTTTGGTTCCATATTAAGGAAAATTTCAAACACTGAAAAGTAGAAAGAATAATATAATGAACCCACATGTACCTACCACCCAGTTTTGACAATGATCAGCTTATGGGGGAAGGAAGGGATAAACTGGGAGACTGGGACTGACACATACACTCTACTATATATAAAATAGAGAACTAACGAGGACCTACATACAGCGCTGGGAACGCAATACTCTGTAACGGTCTATATGGGAGAAGAATCTAACAAAGAGTGGATATATGTATCTGCATAACTGAGCCACTTTGTTGTACACCTGAAACACAACATTGTAAATCAATTATATTCCAATAAAAATTATAAAAATTTTCGTTTTCATCTGCACTCCCCATGTGGTCCATACCCTCCACCTCCCAGACTTATTTTGGGCTTTTTTGTTTTTAAACTTTTTATTTTATATTGAAGTATAACTGATTAACAAACAACGTTGTGATAGCTTCAGATGAACCGCAAAGGGACTCAGCCATACACATACATGTACCCATTCGGCCCCAAACTCCCCTCCTGTCCAGGCTGCCACATAACATTGAGCAGAGTTAAACAAACAAAACAAAACAAAACATTGAGCAGAGTTCCACGTGCTCTACAGTAGGTTCTTGTCGGTTAAACATTTTAAATATAGCAGTGATTACATGTCCATCCCAAACTCCCCAATTATCCCTTCCCCCAGTCCTTCCCCTCTGGTGAACTATAAGTTTGTTCTCTTAAGTCCCAGACTTATTTTGAAGCAAGTTCCAGGCATCATATTATTTCATCCCTAAACATCTCATTACATATCTCTAAAAAATGAGAATTTAAAATATATATATGTATGTATCTATAACCACAATACTGTTACAGCACCTGAAAAATTTCTTAGATCATCCATCATCCAGCCTCTCAGTGAACATAATATTTTTGCACTATACCCTACTTTGCATCAAGTGTTGAGGTTCATTCATTCCTTCCCTTAGTAAATATATGTTAAACGTCGACCCTATGCCAAGTACCTATCACTCAAGGTTCAAGGCACGGAGACATCAAGGAACAAAAGACAGCAATCATTGCTGGCTTGGAGTTTACACTGCAGTATGCAGCAGCAGAGCTATGAAAGGGTATTCACTGCGGGGGGGTGTGTAGGGAGAGGAGGATTTTAAATTTCTTGATACTCATATGATGTTGAATATTTACTGGAGTTCAATCAAGAAGCTCAGAATAACTGGCTAATCAACATGGTGCTAATCACCAGGGTATACCTTGAATAAATGAATAAAGGAAAATAAGACGAGGTTCCTAGGGGTGAAGTGGGCTTGATGGTTTCATTCAGGGAAAGCTGAGGGCAGATAAGGTACCCACTGACATCTGCATGCCAGAGATGCCCTTAAGACAAAAGCACACACACGGCTTATGGCCAAGCTGTTTTTACCTGAAATCATCACCAGAGGGAGTTTCTGCATTTGTGCCACCTGGGCTTCCATCATCGCTGTCCGCTCGCTGCTGTGCCAATCTGCTCACCACAAAACCAATTCAGTTATGAACTATGGGCTCTAAGTCCAGCGGAGTATGTCCTCCCTCCCCCAGCAAGCAAGGAAGCGGGCAAACAGTGCACTAAAAATGCTGCAAGGTAGATATGCTTGAACCCCGTCCTCCTCCGCCTAGCTTCAATGACAGGGAAAACCCATAAAACAGCCACTTAATGCTAGAAGAAATCCTAAATTAAATATCCAGAAATGTCACGGAAATTTTCTCTTAAATACACACTTTACAGGGAATTCCCGGGCGGTCCACATAGGACTCGGCACTTTCGCTGCGGGGGGATCTAAGATCCCGCAAGCAGCCCAAACAAAAACAAAAACAGACTTTACAGGGCCAAAAGAGCCCCAGGAAGTCTGCTCGGGCGGAGGGAAAAGAGGCAGCAAGGACAGACGGTAACCAGAAGATGGGGGTAGGGAAGGGGGGTGGGGACGGAGGAAACCGGGGAGACAATGACAGGAAGGACAGGGAGGATGGGGACTGACTTTATTGAGCGTGCGAAGGACTACGCTAAACAAAAGGCAGAGGTGACAGGAAGGGGCTGAGAAGTTGTCAAGGACACAGCGCTGAGGCATGGGAGGACCAGGCGCAAAAGTCCAGGATTGGGGGCCGGGAAGTATGGCGTGAGGCGAGGAGGGCCCTGAGGGCCAGAGACCTTGGCTGGGAGGGGAGAAGACGGCGTTTGGGAGCCGCCAAGCTGCGGAACCCGGAGTGGGCTGCGGGGCCGGGCGGCGGGGCCGGGGCGGGGCCACAAGGGCGGCCGGGCGCTGCACCTGCTTCCGCGGTAGCTGTAGAGACAGTAGTGGCTGCTGGGCGGCGGGTCGAGTCTCCGCTCCTCGGCGGAGCCGCCCTCTTCGCTGCTCTCTAGCTCCTTTTCATCCCCATCCAGCGATTCCTGCAAGGAGGGGAGCATCGCGGCGGCCTCTGAGCGGCCCTGCGTTCCCGCCAAACAGCTCCCCCGCTGCCGTACAGTCCTCTGTGGCTGGGCTCGTCCGGCTCCCCGTCCTCGCGCATCTGCGTTCCGCTGGTTTCCCGGGCTCTTAGTCGAAAAAGCTGGAATGCCCCGATTTTTCTGTTTTCTTTTTCTCCCATCATTCTGGTCTGTGCAGAAACGTCACTTCCTCAGAGACAACTTCTTAACCGCCCTATGCAAAACATCCCCCTGGCACCTCCACTGCTGTCGCATCAATCTCTATCCTATCCCCTTATATTGCTTAGTTCTTCATCCCAGTTATCACCCCGACAAGATGTATTTGTTTACTGTTTCTCCAACTAGAATGTCATCTTGTTCACTGCTATATCCTCTGTCCTAGCCCGTGCCCTGTGCGGCTCAAAAACTGCTGAATTAGTTTTAAGATTTTGTAACGTCAGAAAAAAGAAAAGATTTTTGTAACACCTAGGCATCTTTTTCTTGCACTTTTTACCTTATCACCATATTAAAGATAATAAAGTACACCTACATCTCATAACTTTATATAGAAAAATAGTAGCTAACATTTATTGAGCGTTTTCTGTGTGAGGACTTCTCTAAGTGCTTTACAAATACTTATTCATTTAATTCTCACAACCCAATGAGGTAGATATCTTTATTATCCCATTTGACAGAAGAGTAAGCCAAGGCCAGAAATACTGGACTTGTCCACTGTAAAATAAGCTTGTAAGTGGCAGTGCTCTGTCATGTTCCATGCTTTGCCACCCTGTAGACTTTTGTCCGCCAGCCTCCTCTGTCCATGGAGTTTTCTAGGCAAGAACACTGGAGTAGTTGTCATTTTCTACTCCAGGGGATCTTCCTGACCCAGGGATGGAACTCTCATCTCTTGCATCTCCTATATTGGCAGGCAGATTCTTTACCACTGGGACATTTGGGAAGCCCTAATAAGTGGCAGAGTGGCTTTCAAACCCACTGACTCCAGAACTCAAGACCACAAAATTGAAGATGACTTGACCTAAAATTATGTCTTAAAGCCATTTATTTGGACAGTTAATCTCAGGGTTTTTTTGTTTTCACTTTAAATCTTTAATTTCTTACCATAATATTTTGGTTTTACAGAGTATAAATTCTGAACTTTTGTTAAATTTTTGTTCTTTTTGATGCTATTATAAATGGAATTTTCTTAATTTCATTTTCAGATTGCTGTTGCTTGTGTATAGAAGTACAATTGATTATTGTATATTGACCTTTGTTTTAAAATTTTATTTAATTGAAGGATAATTGCCTTACAATTAAATACTGTATATTGATTTTGTATTGTGAACTTTGCTCAACTCTTATTAGCTCTAGATTTTAAAAAATGTATTCCTTAGAATTTTCTATATATAGGTGTTTCTGTTTTCTAGGGTTCCAGTTAAAGTACCAAAGGCTGAGTGGTTTAAATAACAAAATTTATTTTTTGGGGGGCTGTGCACCTTGGGGTCCCAACAGTGAAAGTGCTGAGCCCTAACCACTGGACCACCAAGGAATTCCCTAAACAACAGAATTTATCATCCCACAGTTCTAGAGTTTTAAGTCCAAGGTCAAGCTGTCAGCCAGGTTGGTTCCTTTGGAGAGCTGTGGGGAAAGAGTCTTCTAAGTTTCTCTCCCTGACTTACAGTGGTTGTCTTCTATATCTCTTCATATTGTTTTCCTTCTATGCCTAACTCTTGAGTCTTACCAAAAAAAAAAATCCCTTTTGGTGGTTAGCGGTCCATGCTTTCAACTCCAAGAGGCAGGGTGCAGCCAGAAAAAAGTGTGGGTGGGGTGGGGGAGTTGAAGTAATTTACACAAAATCACAGGGTAAGTATGGAGCTGAGTTAGAGTTTAGTTTTTTATAAAACATTTTGCCTCAACAGTGAGAACAATGGATTGGAGACTGAGAATGTGACAGTAACCTGGATAAGAGATCAAACTGGTCTGAAGTAGGACCTTAGTTGCAGAAAAGCATTATATTCATTCTTCCTAAAACAAACAATAATTCTATTTATTTATTTATGCTATGTAGGATTTTAAGGGTCCACTAACCACTGGACGACGACTACCTTAAGCTGTCTCTTTTTTCATCTGTATTAACCGGGTGATAACAATGGCACCTACATCACATGTTTGTTGAGACAAGTAATGTGAAACTTACACCTTGTCTGGCACACAAATGCTTCATGGATATCCGCTATTATTTTTTCCTTTTAATAGGAACATGTAATTTACATTACTAGTTATTTTTCTATGCTGTAAGTGCAGGCAGAGAAGTTTAAGTGGCTTGCCCAAAGTCATGCAAATAGTTGGTAGAAAACGATCCCAAGCACCTGGACTCTAAAGCAACTATACTCTTACTTGTGTTATTCTCTAACTGTCCTCTTAAAACTCCTAGGTTGCTAATCCAGGGACTTCAGCATAAAACGCAACTTTTTGCCAGCCTCCCCAGCATCATTTCTTGCCATCAGCCCCCTCATTACCAGCTCCAACCTTACTACCTCTAGCTTTTTTTTTTCAGGTGCTCAGGCTCAAAGACTTGCATTTTTTGCACCCTTAGGGAAATACCCTCTCCTCCACCTCGCTTGCTCCCATTCACTCTTCTGGCAACTTTCCTTGATACCCTGATGACCGCCAAGGCTCTATAAAAAGGCTCCCCTCCTTTGAGGCCCGCCAACACCTCGTATTTCCATCACCTCGGTGACCACGCTGCGTAGTTTACGCACCTATCACCAATGTGTGAGTTACTAGACTGAGATTGCGACTTCTTTGATTCAGTAGTAGAAAAACGTCCACCGCTTACTACAAAGAGTAATTAGGGTAATGAAACAAAACGAAAAAACTGGGCGCTGTCTCAGTTATCCTTTATTTGTAATTTACCCTGAATTACGCTGGGGATTCTTTTCAGCTTTTCCACTCCCTGCTCACCCCTCCAATTCGCGAGCGTCTCGGCGTAAATGGGTCACCATATCCTTTATAAAGAAAAATAAGCTCTGAGAAATTCGCTCGCACAGGAAAGCCGAGAAGGCAAGCACGGACGAGATGGCCGCCAGCCCGACGCTGCCGCGAGTCTCCACCCACTTAGGGCGGAGGCCTGCGTCACATGACCCTCCCCGGCTTGGCACCGCCTCCGGCCGCAGAGCCTGACGGGAGACAGAGCGGCGAGCGAAGGCGTCGGCCATTTTGTGGATGTTTCCTGTGGGACGCGGTTGTGACGGTTGGGTCGGAAGAGTGAGCTATTTTTCACGTTTTTTTTTCCTGTTTGTTTTCTCCTCTTTTTGTCGGTAGAGCGCAGTTATGGGTCGCAAGAAGAAGAAGCAGCTGAAGCCGTGGTGCTGGTATCCTTTGTCGGTTTGAAGTCGAGGCCAAGCGGGGGCGCCGGTTAGTGATGACTGGCTAGGAGAGGCCTGGTTTCGGCCTATGGCGGAGAGTGGGATCTAGGCCGCGAGGTCGGTGGTTTGGTGGTTGGACTTGGATTTGTGAAGACTCGTCAGAAAGTAGGGGCCCTGGGGCGAGAGGCTCTGGCAGTTGTGGGTCGTGGGACTTAGTGACTCAGGAGGTTCTTGTTTTGGTGCGAGCGTTGACCCCCCCCCGAGGCGGCTCGGACCCCATCACCAAGGACAGAGTCCCCTGAGGACTCTTCTGCCACACTCCGTTGTTTTGTTGACGATTCCACAAAGGGACTTCGAGTATAATACGCTGATTGATTCTGGAGGATTAGGAGAGAGCTTCCGGAGTCTGTCACCCACTTTCTTTTTCTGGTAGAATCAGTGGTTTCGTAAAGGCTTCTGTTAGTCAACCCTGATTTCGATCCCCCCCCCCCCCACTTCCCCCCTTTTTATTGCGGGGGTGGGGGGGGAGATCTAGCTTCCGCGTCTCACCCTCTGGCGCCTTAATCTTCGAGAAGTAACAGGGTGGGGTTGCTTATCTTTCTACCTAGCTTTCTAGTAATGAAAAAATGCATTTTAGGAATAAAACGTGCCCCCCCCCCCCCGGAAACGTTAATAAACTACGTTCTAGTTGTTTTTTATTTATTGTCCTCTACCTAAAAAAGCTTGGCTTCAGAACTGAATTTATTTTTGCAATAGTTGAAAAATGGTTACAAGTTTTGTTAAAGTGCTTTTAGGAAAATATGATTAGTGAGTTAATGCTCGGTAACAACTCTTATGTGAGTTTAAATGAAACCTTTGGCAACATAAATTCGGAATTGCAGGCAACTTTATGGGTTTTTTAGGAAATGGTTACTTTTACTCGCAGTGAACTTATTTTCAGATCCCAAATTAGTGTTAAATTCTAAATGTAAATTGTTAATCTGATTATTTTTATGTTCTACTTAATCCTTGAAGTTTTGTCGATATAAACAGTTGTTGTTATTTAATAAACATTGATCCCTTGCAGTTAACGTGCGTTTGTAAAATGTTGAGAGATTGAACAGAAGTATATTTCACATAAATCTGGTAAACGCTGAAATTTGACAAAGCTATATGGCCTACGGTCTACGGAGATGTGTTTATTTAGGGTTGGTGAAGAGAGATTGTGGGCTTCCGGGACATTGAAAATTCCAAAATTAGTGGCAGGTTTATTTCTAGTTATATAATACCAAAAGCAGAGTTTATACAAAGTATTTTTGGCTTTAGCTATTCTCCATTTTTAATGTTAAGTAGTGAATAGTGTTCTCTTTAATTGCATATTTATTTTCTATAAGTAATGTTATTGTGCTATATTTTTGTACCTTAACAATAGTGATCAGGTATTGTAATAGAGATTTTGATGATGAGAAGATCCTTATACAGCACCAAAAAGCAAAGCATTTTAAATGCCATATATGTCATAAGAAATTGTATACAGGACCTGGCTTAGCTATTCATTGCATGCAGGTAAGGAGTTTTCTTCTCTTACTTAATTTTTGCTCTCTTGTAGTTTGGAAACAATACGGAGGAAAAACCTTGAATTTCTTTTTGAAACCCAAGGGTGTTTTTTTTTGTTGTTCATTGCAAAAGATTGGATAAGATGACCAGTTAATTTAAAAAAAAAAAGGTTGTTTAGCCATGGAGAAAAGATAAACGATTGATTTTCTATATTTAAAGAATTTTTATTAGTATTTACCTTTAAATTATTGATATCTTCATCCTAGTTAGATATGTGACAGGCTGAAATCACAAAATATTTCCTCAATACTTGGGCAAAAAAACAAAGATCAGTGATTTAAATTTTGTAGGCAATCTGACCAGTTCTACTCCTGTAAGAATTAGTACATAATTAACTGCCATTACTCTGCCATTGAATGATTTATTACAATCCCGTTGCCTGCCTGGGGCTAGGTTTAGTTCCACCATTTATTCCATGGAAGGGTAGCGCTGTATTTCATTTAAAACTTACAAGTTTTATTTTGAAGATCTGTTTTATTCAACATTTCTTCTACTTTGCCAGTCCTAGAGCTGTCTGAATTTTTGCGTAATTGGACCCTAGAGAGGCGTGAGATGAAGGAATCCCCATTGGAAATTACTGTTGGTAGGAGGCAGGGAGGTAAATTAAAACAAGATTATTGCTTCCTCAAGCTTAAAAATAAGTTTTTGTATATCTTTCTCATTTCTATCAAGCCAATCAGTAATTTAAAAATCCATTCAGAAATCTAAGTCCTGCTACATCCACAATTTTCCATTGTGGCAATCACTGGTGGTTAATCGCTAAATCTTGTCTGACTCTCTTTGACTCCTGGACTGTAGCCTGCCAGGCTCCTCTGTCCTTGGAATTTCTTAGGCAAAAGACTGGAGTGGGTTGCCACTTTGAACTCAGGTCTCCTGCATTGCAGGCAGGTTCTTTACTGCTGAGCCATGAGGGAAACCCAGTCACTAGTTACCTGTGACTATTTTAAAAGAAATTTTAAAATGAGAAGTTAAATTCCTCAGTCGCATTATAGTCACATTTCCATTGCTTAGTCCCATGTGACTGGTGGATGACTATTGTATAGTACAGATGTAGGACTTTACCATTTATGTGAGACAGCATTGTACAGTGTGTGAAGCACCATATATGTAGCAATGAACAAAATAGTCATTTTTGTGAAGTTTAGATTAACACTGGAGGGAAACAACCCATAATTGTTTACTTAGTCTTATGCTGATACATGATAGAGAACTAAAACTAGGTAAAGGGGAATAGGGGAGGGCCATAAGATAGTAAAGGCCTGAATGACAAGCTGACATCTGAACAGAGATCAAAGAGGGTGAGGGAGAGATTCCAGGGAATAGCAAATGAGAAACTGTTACATCAGGAGTATCATCCTATATTGAGGGAAGAGCAGCAATGTGCTACTTTATATAGGAGGTCTCCTTGGCTGCTGTATTTCTTTAAGTCTGAATGAAATGGGAGGTTTTAATTGAAGTGTAACATGTTTTGGTATACTTTGGGTCATTTTGGCTGTAAGGTTGAGAATAGACTGTAGAGTGCAGTAAGACCGCCTTAGTATTGGAGGCAAGAGGTGATGGTGACAGAGATAAGAATTTGTTGATGGGTTAGATGTGGAACGTGAGAAAGTGAGGGGTGGAGGATGATCTGAAGGTTTTTGGCTTGAGCACTGTGAAAAGTGAGTTGAATACAGTGATAGTCAATTGGCCCTTGGTATTTTGGTATCACTGTGGATTCAGTCAACCACATTTGGGAGTCAGTTGATTGAACCCTCAAGTGCAGAAATCCACAGATACTGGAGGGTGACTGTACTGTACTATCTTATATGAGGGACTTGAGCATCCTTGGTATGAGACGGGTAGTCCTGGAACCAGTTCCTCCTCGATACCAAGGGATGACCACTGATGTCTAGAAAGCTGCAGGAAGAATAGGCTTAAGAGGTGAGAATACTAAATCATCTTATGTTTATTTTGAGTATTTTAGTGTTGAGAAGGTCTTAGTGAATATCCAGATGTGGATGGCATATAAGCAGTTGAATCTGCGGGTCTATAGTTTAGAGAAATTGGAGCTAGAGATGGAAGTTTGGGAGGATACAGTATAAGGATGGCTATTTTAAGCCATGACACTAGATGTCCTTAGGGAGTATAGATAGAAAAGAGGTGCAGGGACTCCACCTTGGGTGTCTCCCAGCATTTAGAGGTAATGCTGATTAAAATAAACCAGAAGATTGAAATAAACCTGTCAACATTGAGAAGGTAGGAAAACCAAGAGACTAGTGCCCTGGAAGCCAAATGAGGTGTTTTAAGGAGAGAGTTAGGTCAAAGCTAGTGGTAGGTCAAGAAAGCACAGGACGAAGAGTGGTTTGATCAAAGTAGAGGTCATTGATTACTTGCCAGAAGTGCTTTCCTAGGATGAAGAAGATGAAAGGCTGATTGGAGTGCTTGCAAGAGAAATGAGAGGGATAGGAGAGGCACTGTTTCAGGGAGTTGTACTATAAGAGAAGAGCGAAGAAATGTAATGAAAGCTGGAAGGACTATTAGTAATGTCTTTAATTGAAATTGTCTATTTAATAAAAAAGAAATTGTCTATATATTTTTATAGCAGCCTGTGACATAGGCATGGCAGTTAAATTAGACACATGCTCCAGTTTTTATAGATAAAAGATGTTTTTCCTCTCATTACATAGAAGCGTAATGAAGACTAGTTACTGTGTCTGTGGATGTAGCTATATTTCTTTAAAGAACATAGAGATGACTTCATGTTCATCATCAAGAAAAGTAACATTCTAAAAAACTTGGGATAATTACATGATTTATTGAGTAGCTTTATTCATGGATCTTTTTTAATCATAATAAGACAATTTCTAAGTTTGATTTGCATTTCAGTTTTTAAAATCTTTGAGATACTCTTCTAGGAAGAAAAAAGTTTTCTTTACCTTCTGTTCTGTGAAAAAGTCTTAAAGGAAAAGAAAAATGTATTACTTGGACAACTGTATCAAAGTCATTTCCCTTACCGTGTAAAAGTGGTTCTCAAACTTGAACATGCAAAGGAATCACTTTGAAGGCCTCGATTCATTGTTGTACTCAAGAGTTTCTGATTCAGTAGGACTCAGGTGTGCCCTGAGAATTTGCATTTCTGATAAGGTTCCAGTTGAAGCCAGTGGTCTTGGCAAACTACTTTGACATCCTTTAACCTAAGTTAAAACATTTTGCTGAAGGAACCAAGACTGACCAGGGTTTTACCATATTGGCAGAAGTTACTCACTGAGGGTTAGAAATGTTTGATCTAGCAAAGACCATACAGTGAAAAAAGGTCCTGAATCCTCAGTGTTATACAGTAACACATCTTAAGAACTTCTTTTTGTGATCAGCCAAATACATTTAGAGATAGGGACAGGTTCTCTGCTATGGCAGTGTTAAGCTCCTCAGGTGACTCATTAGCTGTGGGTAATGCTAATTATAAGTGTCACTTTGTGGTTTGTAATTACTAGCTTGTCAAGTACATCATTGGAAATTTCACTTTATTCTGATAGTTAATAAGGCTTCGTAAGCATTACTTAATTCAGACTTCCTGATTTGAGTAGTACTGTTACTTCATTGCTAATAGTTCAAACAAAATTATAAGCTACATTGCCAAGTGCTTTTTATATACAGTTTTTTTTTTTAATCTTAAAAATAACCTGAGAAGTTAGGTAGTAAATTAGGTGAAGTAAACTGAGGCTTAGGTCAAATGATTTGCCCAGACTGTCAAAAGCTGGGGGGTTGAATTCAGTCTCACTATAGAACAAGTTTTCTTTACCTTTATACTAAATGGCCTATGAATAATTTAAAATTCTTTTTAAAAAAAAGACTTTCATGAGGCAGTTTTGTCTATCTAATGGAAGGCTTGTGTTTTGTTTGTGTGGATTTGTTTGTTTTTTAATTTTAGGTGCATAAAGAGACAATAGATGCAGTACCAAATGCAATACCTGGGAGAACAGACATAGAGTTGGAAATATATGGTATGGAAGGTATTCCAGAAAAAGATATGGATGAAAGAAGACGACTTCTTGAACAAAAAACACAAGGTAAATACTAAGGTATATGCTTAATAAATAAATTTCTTAATAAAGCTTCACTAATGAGAGTATTATTACTATTTTAAAGTATAAATTTAACGGTCGGTATTAGATCTGTTCAGGCTTCCTTGGTGGCTCAGACAGTAAAGAGTCTGCCTGCGATGCAGGAGACCTGGATTTGATCCTTCGGTTGGGAAGATCCCCTGGAGGAGGGCATGGCAACCCACTCTAGTATTCTTATGTGGAGAATCTCCATGAACAGAGGAGCCTAGCAGGCTACAGTCTGTGGGGTCGCAAAGAGTCAGACACACTGAGCAACTAAGCATAGCACCGCACATTAGATCTATTCAGAATTCCACAGTTTTGAGGAGTTTTTTTTCGTCTTATGTTTGAAATTAATAGATTTTGTTTTGTATACATGGTACTGTTTGGATAATTTCATACATTATTTTTTTGCTCATAACTGAATTCCAGGTAGATACAGCAAGTGTTAAGGCCTTTAAAAATGAAGGTACCTTGTTTAGATTTATGAAATCACTGGTTGTAAATTTTTAGTACTGTATTTGACTTGGTATTTGCAGCCTTCTTCTATCCAAATGATAGAATCTTCTTAATAACCTAAGAAATTTTTTATTTTGAAAAGCATTACAGGGAGGTCAGACCGCTTTGTCATAATTTACCTTTTAGAGTGGAATAGGAAGCTTGTTTGGTAAAGTATAGCTGATTTAGGAAAATGACTTTTGCCTGCCATAGAATAGGGAGAGGATGTTAACCTTCTTGCTTAATACAGATTGAAAAACCATTCAAAGAGTAAAGAACAGTGTTGGCCGAATTTTTTTTGGGGAAAAAAAAATCTCAAGAGCTAGCTGCACTGAAATAAAGTTTATAAATGTTGAATGTCTTAGACTTCCTTTGTTTTTCTTTTTTTTACTCTATGGGAAAAATTAATTGAACCTTTTTTAGCAGAGAGTCAAAAAAAGAAGCAGCAAGATGATTCTGATGAGTATGATGATGATGACTCTGCAGCTTCGACTTCATTTCAACCACAGCCTGTTCAGCCTCAGCAAGGTTATATCCCCCCAATGGCACAACCAGGACTACCACCGGTTCCAGGAGCACCAGGAATGCCTCCAGGTAGCACCTAAGGCCTCTTACTATTTAACATTCTCAAGTCTTCATTGATACAGATTAAAAGTATTAATTTTTCCTTCTTAATTTTTTCTATGTTTTCTTTTTGGTGAAAATTCTTATTTATAGGCATACCTCCATTAATGCCAGGTGTTCCTCCTCTGATGCCAGGAATGCCACCAGTTATGCCCGGAATGCCACCTGGGTAAGAAAACTCTTAATTGACTTGTGAGCTGGTGCCTAGTAGTGATCTTTCTCAGCTTGGGTGTTTACATCAATTAAATGTTACTTTGTGGGGTGTTTTGTTTTGTTTTGCTTCTAAAAGGTATGGGCTCTATTAATTATTAAACTTATCTAATAAAGAAATCTACTAATAAATTTAAGGAATATAAATTTGCCTCTGGAGAGAATAGATTTTTGGGTTTTAGGATAAATGTAGGCAGCCATCTGCTTCAATTGCATCTGATGTAATTAAAGTAGTTGGTTGTAGATTTGAGTTTTTGAGATTCAGAACTGTCCATGACACTTTGTAGTTGTGACAGAAGCAAACTCTGTAAATGATTTGTCAAATCTTCAAGAACTAAAATGAATATGAGGTGCCCGTGCTCATCACTTTTACTTAAAAATATTGTTGGATGTGAAAGGTATACAATACACTTTCCCACTGTATTTTGAAAATCACAGTTAGATTTTGATTTTGTCATACATTTTCACAGATTGCATCATCAGAGAAAATACACCCAGTCATTTTGCGGTGAAAACATGTAAGCATCTCATTCATAATGTAATTCAGGAGGTATAATCATAATGTCATTTTTTTGTGTGTTTAATGGTATCTATTCAGTTGACTTCAAAACTTTTCTAACCTTCCTCACTAAAACTTCTAAAATTTGCAAACTGACACAGATCTCTTAAAGGAGGGAACTAAAAAACATATGAGGAAATAGTAATAGACCCACATAAATCATTTTCTAATTTTGTAGCTGTTTTCCCCAAGCTGCTAAAAGTTATGAGACTTAGAGAAGGTTGATATTTAAGAAAGAGTATATTCTTTTGTGAAATTACATGCTTTATTATGGAAAGTAATTGAATTTTCTTTAATAAAACCTATATATAGAAGTTATTCTGTTTAAGAATCCTAAATCAAAAATTCACAAAACTTGTAATTTTTTAAGTGAATTGGACACTGATATTTGAAGGTGAGCTCTTCTAAGGAAAGGAAAATAAATATGGGTTGTGCTTTTAAGTCCTGGTTTAGTGTTAGGAGCTTTCTACATAAAAAGTAGAGACTGTGAGTTTAGTTTTGGATATCTTTCATTTTGATGTGTTCATGTGTGCCCATCCCCCCAAAAAGAAAACTCTTCACTCCATAGAGTACACTTAGTATTTTTTCTTTTTGGAAAAAATCTGACAGCTCTAAAATGGAGGGTTCTGTTTAAGGGGGGAGGTTTTTTGGTTTTGTTTTTGTTTTTTAATTTATATTCTGTGGATATATTCCAAGTGAGACAGAAAGTGATACTGTTTTCCAGTTACACATCTTAGATAAGGCCTCTTGTTTTTAAGAAGAGTAAAATATTTGTTCTCAGTAACTTTAAATGTATTAAAATGTTCTTTTAGCAGACACTGAATTTTTTTCCCCCTATTCTACTGGTAAACCAGAGTGTTTGCTGGGCTTTAGGGGATTTATTTTGATAGGATTGTTTTTAGTGTGTTGTATGTTCTTCCACTTTGATAGATTTCAGTATTAGAGGTCAAATTCAAGTCTTTATTGTTGTTTCAGGCTTTTAGCTAGAATATTTTCTAATGTTTTATGCTGTTAATTAACTTTAGTTGTCTCTTCAAATTTGCTTTCTAATAGAATGATGCCAATGGGTGGAATGATGCCACCTGGACCGGGAATACCACCTCTGATGCCTGGTATGCCACCAGGTATGAAATGTTAGACAATTTCCTTTTTAATATGACAGGCATGTTTTATTCTTAAGTATTTTGAATAACAGATTTATGAGCATTGGTACAATGTGATTTTAAATTTTCTATAGGTTAGCAACTTCTTTTAAAATTACTGTGAGAAATTACTGTGGTTTTATTTTTGTGTGTGTGTGTGTGTTTTTAAATAGATAGTAAAAGTAGTGTTCAAAGCAACCAGAACGAGTCATTGAGCTTGTGACTTAAAGAGTGGTTATATATATTAGGAATATTTTAGACAAGTAGTGGAGACCCTTAGCAAGTAACAGAAAAATCCAACCCTAAGTGGTAGATTTGGTGACTACGGTAATAAAGAACTCATACTTTCTTAAATTTGCCACTTTGCCAGCCTTAGCTTTTGTTCCTCAGACATGTTACTCGGTAGTTCCAAGATGACTCAGGCAAGAAAGGATGCTTTTATTTCTTTTACTTTATGGCAAAGTAACTTTCCCAGAAGCTCTTAGCCTCTTAGATATCATTTGCCAGAAAAAGGTCTAATGAACCCCCTAGGTACAAGGAAGGCTGCAAATTAATTAAAATATCTTGACTTTTTAGTCTATAATGTGAGGGGATGGGATTTGGTTAGCCCAGGAAATAAGTGCCCCAGAGGTTTCCATGAGACACTCTTGACCTGTTCCCTGGTTTTTTAATCCTAGCACGTTTGATTTGCAGTCCATAACAGATTCACATGTATGTACTCAAGTGATAGTATAAAAGGAGCAGGAAAAATAAAGCGGCAGCAAAATTTGAATCATAGCTAGCGCAACCATTAATTTTTAGGCAACAGCTTCACATACATTATGATCTGACATAACTTTAGACCTTTAGAGGAATAAAGAAAAATAACCTGTATTCATTTGCTAATGGGAAGTCAATAAAAGTTTAAGTTACTTTGAGGAACTTGAAAGAACGGCTAGTGGTGCATTTAGGGAAATTATGTATTATGAGTATATGACCTATTAATAGTTTTTATTGCAGTTTGCATTAGAGTTCTGGAAACATCTATTAGATGATTGAAATAATTCTATATGTTTGAAAATTTTATTGCATTAGTAATATCAATAGGCCTAATTGTTGCTCTGCCTATATATAGGTTTTCTTGTGGTATCTTATAACGTCTAAAAATTTTAAAGAGAAACAAAGTCATATAGAAAGTTGGAGGCAGAGTTGTTCCAAGTGGCAAATATCTACGTTCTCTGGGCTTCTTTGAGTTCAGGAGTCAAGAGTTAGTAATTTTACAGTATAGGGTTTTTTGTTTTGTTTTTTAATTGGCTACGAATTTTTTTAATTCTCTGCAGGTATGCCCCCTCCTGTTCCACGTCCTGGAATTCCTCCAATGACTCAAGCACAGGCTGTTTCAGCTCCAGGTATTCTTAACAGACCACCTGCACCAACAGCAACAGTTCCGGCTCCGCAGCCTCCAGTTACTAAGCCTCTTTTCCCCAGTGCGGGACAGGTAAGGCGAAATTCTTGAAAAAGGAGTGCATTAATATTTAAAGGTAAAGTGCAGTTTACTGAAATCCTTCAGTTTGTCATAGGTTATTTAAGTAGTTCCTAATCTTTTTAATATAATTTATTAATTGTACTGAGGAGTGGCCTATTCTATCCCATGTTTGCACACATTGATTTTCTCTACTCATAAAAGATAACTGAAACCAGAGAATAGTGTTGTATGTTGTTTTTTCATAATAGTTAATGCTGGTTATTCTTTACTTTTTTAGAAATGAAAATTTAATTTCTGGGAGCTTAAATAAAAATATTAAGAACTCCTCTTTTACATAATGAGCTCTGGGTAGAATGAAACCAAAGACAAAAATGTGAAATCCTGAAACCTGTAGCAAATTATTTTTGGGCTCTTCCTTTAATCTAGAATTGTTAAACAATGTTGCACTGTTGTAGGAAGGGCGTCATTTAATGGATTTTGACCTAGTCAAACTGGTATTTCTACTCGTCTTTTTTCTACCCCTTGCCAGAACTCAGAAGCAAAAGATTATTTTATATGTAGTATGTATGTAATGGTTGTTACCGTTTCATTCTGAATCAGGCAGGTGTATTTAATTCATTTAGAATTCAAAAGATCAGGATGTATGTTATGTTCTTTATTGTTCACCTTAAAATGATCCATTAGATGTTTTCTTTTTTCAATTTTTTCCTATTTGTAGTTGCTAAATTAACAAACATTTTTAAGTGCCTTTTAAAGCATATTAACTTATGTTTTTGAGATTGGGGGTAATCTTTTTTTCTGAGAGATGTTATTAAACTTTTGGCAAATATTGTTATTGAGAAAATTAAGTAATGCGTCATAATTCTCAGTTTAAGGTATCAGTTTTGAAATACCATAGTGCAGAACACCTTAGGTTTAGGGGGAAGAAAAAACTATGGTTAATTAGATTTATTGATATAGAATTAAAGTTTTTTTTAAACTCATACTGTCACTCTGTTTATTGTAAATGCATTAACTGCCTACCTCTATATATAAAACAGTTTTGATTGCATTGTATTTTGCATTTACAGAAATGCAATCTATACTGGAAAAAAAAGTCTACCACGTGGCTTATTTTCACCCATTTGTTTGGAGACTTTTCATTGTTTCCTTTCTTTTATGCTACAGATGGGGACACCTGTAACAAGCTCAAGTACAGCTTCATCCAATTCAGAAAGTCTGTCTGCATCTTCTAAAGCTCTGTTTCCTAGCACAGCACAAGTACGCAGGAAGTTGCAGTTTAAAATTGTTAAAATGGCTTTATAACTTAACCCTTTGGACCCTACTTAAAAACTTAATCTTTTCCCAAAAATATATTATTTAATTTTTAAAAAATAAATTAATGGCTTATAAATCAATGGTATTTGAAAATTTGAACCACATACTAATAGAAAAAAATGTACCCCAAACTCCTATGGCTCTAAAGGGTTAAAAGCATGTAAGCAGTAAGTGCATTATAGTGGCCAATGGTTAGCTTGATGCATGATTAAGCTATTCTGTTTTATGCTGTTTAATGCATCACATATAACATAAGGAAATTTAGTACTCTGCATTTGGTTCTAAAAATTGGCCTAGTTTACATGTTTCAGATGCATAGTGTTACAGAAAGTAAAGAATGATTACTGGTAACTTTATACTTAAAAGCTCTACTGAACCCTTTTGTCCATCATAATCATACAGACATTGTTAATTGAGCGGACATTGTATTACTATATAAAGAATACTTCTGAAGGCCATATCTTTAATGTGTCACCATTGATGATTGTTTATGGTAGGCTTAGTAACTGAAATTTATGCAAACATATTTTTGTATTCTATAATTTGACTTTTTCTTATTTTTTTGTTTGGTAGATCAATTTTTTAAAAAGTAATTTAGAGTAATGAAAATTGAACATATGCTATTTCATGATACAATACAGTATTTCATCAATTAGGAATAATACAAAGCTTTGTAAATTTTTGGTGAGGAGTTATATGCTGTCTGAGAAATTACGTAAGCAGTCTCGTTTCTTGTTTCCCCTGCTGTGTTTTAGTTGTGCTTTGATTCAGCATCTTTCAATATTATATGTTATCTTAAATTTTGTGGATTGATCATGATGTTAACTTAGTTTCCATTTAAAATTTTGTCCCTTATTGAATGTTAATGTATTGCTTTTAAGTTAAATTGGTAGTAGATACATTCAGTTTTGAGGTTTTATTGATGAAAGATTGTTTTACAGGCTCAGGCAGCTGTCCAGGGACCTGTTGGTACAGATTTCAAGCCCTTAAATAGTACCCCTGCAACAACTACAGAACCACCAAAGCCTACATTCCCTGCATATACACAGTCTACAGCTTCAACCACTAGTACAACAAATAGCACTGCAGCTAAACCAGCAGCTTCCATAACAAGTAAGCCTGCTACACTTACCACAACCAGTGCAACCAGTAAGTTGATCCATCCAGATGAGGATATATCACTGGTAAGTTGTTTACAATTTTTTGAAAAAGTTTTAATTTGTGTACCAATGGTCTTAACGATCTGATTGAATGCTAAGTGATTTTTACCATTCAAATTTATTTTTACCGTTCTAACTTCACAAAACAAAGTGAATATTGCATATTTTGATCTTAGATGCATTCCCCCTCCCCTAACACTATGTCTAAAAGAAGGTAGTGAGTTGGGTTCTTATTCTTAAAAATGAGTTTAGTTTACATAAACTTGTAAATGAATTGAAGAAGCAGTTAAGTGTGAGATAGAATCTGCAGATTGCTTACTGTACATACACCTTCTCCATTACACAGTTTCTTGCTGAAGCAATTTATAATTCCTGGAAAGTTGTTCAAACATAACATACTTGAAATATAAAACTAGGTGACGTTTCTTAAGGCATCAAGGTTTTAAGTAGTTGGATTGATTTGTGTTGTGAAAAGGTAATTGGAATGTAAGAGTACATTTAAAAATGATTATAAGGACTTTAGTTTCTTGCCTTCATGCTTAACAACTCTGTGTGTTCATATGTTTCACATCTCACATATTTTTATTCCTAGGAAGAGAGAAGAGCACAGTTACCTAAATATCAACGTAATCTTCCTCGACCAGGACAGGCTCCCATTGGTAATCCACCTGTTGGACCAATTGGAGGTATGATGCCACCGCAGCCAGGCATCCCACAGCAACAAGGAATGAGACCCCCAATGCCACCTCATGGTATTCCTCTTTTTACATTTTTTTTATTTAGTGGCTTTTCTGAGTGTACACGTAAAACAAATTTATATGCAAAATGCATTGCATTTAAAAGTATGGTGCACAGACTGAATCTTTTTTGTGTGTTTTAAATGTGTTTTTTAGGTCAGTATGGTGGTCATCATCAAGGCATGCCGGGTTACCTTCCTGGTGCTATGCCACCGTATGGGCAGGGACCGCCAATGGTGCCCCCTTACCAAGGTGGGCCTCCTCGACCTCCGATGGGAATGAGACCTCCTGTAATGTCACAAGGTGGCCGTTACTGATCTTACTTCATCCAGTCTAATAGGTTTGGAGATTAAACCTTTTCTCAACTTGTGCTGTTTATATAGCCAAGCTTCCGTCAATAAGGCGTCATTGTGACTTTAACAAAAACATTATCTTCCCACATACCAGGAACTATTGGACATTTATTTTACATGGGAAAATTTATTTGGAATAATAAAGCAGGAACTTTTCCTGAAGTTGCAATTTATACTGTATGGCTTCTTTTTCATGTTTCATCTAGGTTTTTAGAAGTGAAGTATAGTAAATTTGGTTCGTTATATTGTGAAGGCGCTGGAATTACATGAACATACCACCTTAATAAAGGCAAGTTCTGTAAGCTTACATTGCTATTTGTAAAGTTATGCCTTCACAGCATTTCAGATGCTGTTGGACTTCATGTCCCCAACCTAGCTTGGTGAGGGCTGTAACTGTCTCCAAGTACCTGTACATTGGAAGTCTGAATGTGTAACAATATTTAATGTATTTAGAGTTCCTCATGTTGCAGGGTTTAAGAAATCTGACCCTCCAAGGTCATGTGACTTTTCTGTACTGTTAAACTTCATTGTAATAAAATGAGAGAAAAATTTATGCCTTTTTATTCGTAACCCAGCTGTGGACCACTGCCTGAAAGGTTTGTACAAATGCATGCCAGAGTAGATGTCCACAAATAAAATTCGTAGTTACCAATGCAGTTTTGATATATCATTGGATTCTGTCATTGAATTGTAGGTTGTTCGTTAGCTGCATGTTTTTAACTGGACAGTATATGTGGTATTGTATGTTAATCCTTCAGTTGACAAAAAACTTATATATGTATATATATGGGTCATTATATGAGTATGAAATCTTTATATTGTGTCACCTTTCCACCCCCTTGCTGTCAGTACATGTTAGATATAGAGACTTAAAATGTAAATCCTAGTATTCCCTTCTTCCTGCTGCTGATGTTTAGAGCCTAGTGCCAGACCCATTCATTTCCTTTAGATTATATTTGAAACTGCGGTACTGAGTGGACCTCAGAAGCTTTTCAGGTGCAAAATTCTAGAAGCTTAGGTGCATGCAGTAATAGCCTTTTGTGCTGTTAATGACTGGTATGTATTCTAAGTGTAATTATGAGAATATAAATGTGCCTCTGTTAAGATGGTTAACAGATGGATTTGAAAATTTTTATTATGTTCCTGGAAGATTTCATTATTTCTTTGATTTAAATGGCTGCCTTCTGTTATTAAGCCTAAATGGCTTTTTGCTGTTAACCTTTTCATCCTTGGAAATTTGAATGTTAAAACTCTTCTATGGAGAACTTTTCTGTAGCGATGACTGCTATCATTCAGTATCTTGAGTTGCAAGTCTAATAATAACTCGTTGACCACTTTTTGGCATCTATTTTTAAATCTTTTGTAGAATACTTTTATGATTATTTAAGTATCAAATGACCTGTACAAAGTATAATTATTAATATTATGAACTCAAGTTTAGTTTTCTTTGATATAAAGTTAAGACAGCTAAGAAAATAACATTTCTCTATAACCTTATGTGGAGGTGTAGGTATCAGACAGAATCTGAAGTTTTGTTTAAGAAAAAAGTTTAAGCATATAACAAAATACTAAAGGATGTTTTAATTATCATAAAAGAGTCTGTATATAAGTGACCAGTAAAGTCATTGATTTAAAGAAAATACTAAGTATTACAAAGCTGAGTGCCATTTGTTTTGCTCCAGTGGTGGTATAGCTCCTGTGCTATTTATCACCAGGAAAGCATTTCTTTCTCTACCCCTTTTCTTAACAAACACTTGTCTACCTAGATAGTTTGGAATTATCATATACTTCTTAGATTTGGCAGTACGTATATCATACTGCCAAAGAAAGACCTGTGTTGAGAATCTTTAAGGTCAAGATGGCATAATTTAAATTTAGAATTATTAAATAGGAAATGTTTTCCCAAACCAAGTGTCTCCCAAGCACTTCATGTACAGGGTTATCAACAAACCAGGAATGGATGATAGCAGTGGGGCAGAGGGGGCACAAAGAGGGTAAAAATGGGTTAGTAATATTTCAAAAATTTTGCAAAGCTTCATTTGCATTTAATGCAAAGAGAACCAATATATTGAGGTTGCTTTCTGAGATCTATAAGGAGAAAACATTACTGCTTTTGAATAAGGGGTAGAACTCTAAGTTTTTTCAAAGTGTTAGGCACAGCACTTAGACTTAGGCACATCATCTCTTATGTTTGTATGTATATGGCTCAAATGGTGCCCATTTGGTATATTTAATGTATAATTTGTGCATGCATCAGAGCATAATAAGCTTCTAGAACATACTTTTTACCTAATTGCTTCTGGGGTCCATATTATGGTTCAATAATGAGTGGAACAAATTATGTTGAAGTAATTTTAACTCTTTGACTTAACTTTCTTAAATAATGGATGGAGTTCAGTTTAAGTAAACTTCATCTGCCCTCACAGAAGACAGCTTTGGGGACCCAGTTATATACAAGCAGGCATTGTGATTAACATAATTTAGGAGGTTGTCAGATTAATGAGACTGCCAGCTTTGGCTCTAGCATACATCTGTTGTCACCACTTGAAAAAAAAAAAAAGAACCACCATTTTTGTCTGGCACTAGTTTCTATTATGTAGCTTTTACTACTGTATGACAGTAACAAGGCCAGCAGGTGAGGATCAACTTTTGAGTGACTGCTGGAATATCATTTGACTTGAATACTTACTGTCTTAGCAATCTCTCACACATTTACAAATTAGAAATGGGGTAAATATTCTCTTTGAGCCCTCCTATTCCACTGATCAAGTTACATAATTGAACTTAAACTCAGTTTAATTAAATTTAGTTATTTGTGGGGGTGGGGGAGAGTCCCAATAAAAGTATGGACTCGGAATTACAGTGGACAATAGATTTTTTTTTTTTTTAAGAGCTACTCCTTTTTTCCTATGCTTGCTTGATCATTGGGATTTTTTTTAATGCATGTCTTTTAAATTAATTGGGTAATGTTTTTCTAAAATTAAAATTTTCTTCTTCCTATAGCCCTGCCATAGGACAGGCTGAGGCTGAGTCTCAGTGTTGCCCTGTTCAGTCTGAGGCAAGTGGGATTTATTTTATTCCTTATAGGGGCTTTCACAGCTTTATGGCTGTTGGATATTCATGTCCCCAAACTTGCAGCAAGTTTGGTGAAGGCCCCTAAATTTAATTAAATTTAGGGTTTTTATACTCTCTTGGCAGAGAAGGCTCTATATTAATATTCACGTTTGACTGTGGTGTTAATAAACAAAATATTTGACATGTAATTTGTGTTACATAATACTTAACAGCCTCAGTAAAGCTGGTATTACTTGTATTGAACTTCAGTAAATTGACAAAATTTGACATTGTTGATTTGGAGGCTTGATATGTTTCATTCAAATTTTCCCTTTTACTTTTTAGGAAAATCTGACTGGTTATTTTCTCCTCAAACTATTAAATTTAACCTCAAGGATAAGTTTAATCATTAGACATGCCACTGGATAGTGAAATCTGCTTTTTTTAATTGCAAAGTTACGTATTGAAGGTTGAAAAGCCATCTGGAAATGCTTGTGATTTTTAATATATATAAATCTCACCACATTAGAGCAAATGTTAATGTAGAGCCCTGTGAAAAGTGGGAAGATGGTGTGTATGTGTGGTATGTATGCGTATACACTACACATTTGGTATAAAAAAGGTTTGGGTATTACGACACAGTATGGGTGATTATTTTCAAGCAGCCAAACTGAAATTGTATCACATAGTAAAGTTAGTATATTGAACTGTGGTTTTGGAATGATAATTTTGAGTTTCATTTTTATCTTTACTGAGCAATATTTGATGCAATATGCACACACGAAAAGCATCTATGTATGTTTCCAACCAAAAATTGCTTTAATTTGGTTAAGAAAAGTATTTATGTGTATATGTTGTAGGGGGCAAGGGGGAACTGGAAGAGAGGCCAAAACATTAACTTGGATTACTTTTGTTCCTTCCTGTGTTAAAGCCATCGTTCTATGCAGATAGCATTTTCCTCTGAATAGTAACAGTTAACGTATAGTACAATGTTTAGCAAACTCAGGCTTGTGTTTCTATGTGGTTTTAATTCTTGGAAGCGTAAAGAAATACACATTCAGTGAATTCCAAATTTTCACGTCTGTAACTAGAACATATGCTTTTCTCTGTAACTGAATCATGGAAAGAAGATAACAATGTTCGAAAAAAGAATGTGTCACCACAAAAAAATTCCATTGGAATATTTTACTCCCTGCTCAATAATTGCACCTTTTAAGACTCCTTAGTTGGAGGTGCTTTCTGTTAAAGCCACCACTGCCCCAATATATTGAAATATTCAAGTGTGAAGTTGCTTGTCCCATTTCTAATAGTGATCATTGAAATAATTGAAATATACTCAACTATATTTGAGTGATGGGGTGGGAGGGATTTTCTAAGGGTGACGTAATTTATTGGAGGTGATAAGATGTAGGTTCTTTGAGCTCTGTAGTTCTGTGATTCAGACAAATAACAATTTTAAGAATTACTTAACTCTCAGGTGTCTATCATGTCCACTGGTAAAACTTGGTAAATTACTGAAAGGAAATGTTGAAGTCACTTATTTTCTGAGATAAAATTTTGTTTAAACTGACACTTGTGTTGGTTATGAGATTTTTTAAAGTAGGAAACATGTAACCTAAAATTTGTGTAAATCAGGTATGTCTTTTTTTTAAGGTGGTATTTATCTACCATATTGAATAACTTTTGTATGTTATTCCAAAATGAAACTGGTTCTCTCTCACTTTTATGGAAGTCTTCTAAAAGAAAGGATTCATTATAAGACTATTGACTATAAGGCAGAGTTTTGTAAGTAAACATTCTCCCAATTATACTTCTGCTTGCAATCCTTATGATTTGAATAGTAGTGTAGGTTACTCCTCTCTTAACCTTCTTTTTCAATATTTTATTTTCTGTTACCTGAATCATTTTAA